TTTAATAGAAGGAAAATGTGTTTCTGGATAAGAGAGTCTTTATGATTAAGTAAATAAGAGGGTTTAAGCAAGTGATAAAGAAGGTCTGTGTACGTTGGCTATATAGGTTTAAGTAAGTGATAAAGAAGGTCTGTGTATGTTATATATGTAAGTTTTTTGAGCAAGTAATCTTGAAGGAATTAATAAGCATTATACAACTATGGTTAAACAACAACTGTTATTTTGCAATATTGTAATATGTTATTTCTTTAAGAGCTAAACTTGATTAATATAAAAACATCAATGTAATTGTGGTACTATTACTCTTCTTTGTATATTAAATGTGTTCATATTTTCCAGGTATATGTCTTTAAGATAGAAGCTTTAAAAAATTATATCAAGCTGGTGTTCTCCAAAAGGTTGCATGGTAATTTTAGGCTTATAAAAATAACATATTGGAGATTTATTTACATAATTTAATTTTCTATAACTGGACCTGTTATCAATAAGATTAATATAAAGTTCTATATACCGGGTACAATTTAAATGTAATATATTGTGTTAGCTAGTATTCATATGATCTCGAACAATAATATATGTAAACTTTATAAAATAATATTAAAAACAAAGATCAGCTTCAATACTAGAACACTTTACCTAAGATTTATAAAGAGCCCTGGCTTACCTGAGATAAGGCTATGCCTTCCATCTTACTACATGTCAGAATGACTCCAAAGTAGGCCAAACTTCAGCTAAAGCCTAGTACTCTTAATTTAAGGTGAAACTGACTTTGCTGAATGTTTAAGATCAAGACTTAAACTTAAATTAAAATGGCCATGAAAACCAATATTTGGCTCTGACCCTCTGAGTCAGTCTGAAATCCAGGGAACAGGGAACTTCTCTAAAGAGCTTTGCAACTCTGGGCCACATAACCTCCTGATTAATGAGACCACTGGAGAATGAAAAGCCAATCAGTGCACTTGCTGTGAGTAGGAGGGTCATTGGAGACAGGAGACATCCCTGATGCTTCCAAGGGAAGCCACATGGTCAAGCAAGACCTGGACCCATCCTAGCACAAATGGCACTAGCAGAACTAAGAAGCTGTTCTCAAGTTCCCCCATGAGTGACCCCTATGGGAACTTGGCTGACTCTTAACAACAGATAGATACAAAGTCAATTTTGACCAGCTTATCTTAAACACCTACCAAAAACAGTTAAGCCAAAAAGTCATTCCCAGGAGTAATGAAAGAAGCCAACAGGCTCCATAGGGAATGTTCAGTCAAGTATAGCCTTGGCTCCTCCCCCTCACAGGACTCCTATTAGTCCTCTTTATGTTTCTCCTAATAGGACCATGTCTATTAAATTGCCTACAGAAGTTCCTGCAAGATCAGATACACAAATTCACCAACCAATCAATTACTTCTTTAAGACTACCAGCCCCTGATGCCCAAGACAGAGACCTGTGACTCATGACCAACTCCTCTAACTCCAGAGACTCTGCCCCCACATAAAACCCTCTCTAGACCCTTTTCCAGATTTTACAATCCCTCTTTCACTTTCTAGGAATGAGAACTACTCTCCAGCAGGTCCACTCTGCTTGTTCAGTCTGCTCTACAGTATCCCCACAAGGAAGCAACAAACCTAAACTCCCCACACATCAGATGAGGAGCCACTAGCCAGGCAAAGACTAGTAGATCAACTTCACTCATGTGCCCAAGCACAAAAAGCTTCACTACCTACTTACTTTGGTTGATACTTTTCAGGTTGGATAGATGCCTTCCCTACATCCAGGGAAATTGCTGACACCATTGCCTCCATCCTCACTGAGGGGATCATTCCCAGGTTTGAACTTCTCACCTCCATCCAGTCAGACAACGGTCCAGCCTTCACTTCTCAGGTTTTTCAACTAGTCTCCAAAGGCCTCAACATCACTTGGAGGCTCCACATCCCCCACCAACCCCAATCCTTGGGTAACGTTGAGAGGCCTAAAGGCATTCTCAAAGATCATCTCCCTAAACTTACTATTGAACTTAGGCTCTCCTGGCCCAATCTCCTGCCATTGGCCCTCACCTGAATTCAGGCAGCCCCAAGGGCCCCCTCAGGCCTTAGCCCCTTTGAGCAATTCTATGGATGCCCTTTCTTAACCACCCAAAGCTTTACAGTCACTCCTCCTCCCCTGTGCCCTACCTGCCCTATCTCACACTTCTAACAAACTCCTAAGGGAACATGCAGACCAGTGCCTTCCTGTGCCATTCATTGCTTCAATCCCAGCACAACCACAAACTGAATTGGACTCTCTTCAACTCGGTGATTCAGTCTTACTTCAGGAACTGCATTCTCAATCATTGGAACCTCAATGGACGGAACCCCATACAGTCATACTTAACTACCCAATGGTGACCAAGCTTTTAGACACTCCCCCTGGTACCATGTCTCCTGTTAGGATCTGTAAACAAGTCAAGATGGCGCCTGGCATTTTGCCAGAGGGAGTGGTTTGTGAAGTAATGCCAGCGAGCCATTAAGTGTGGAGATTCCTTATTGGCTGACTGCTCTATCTAGTTTATGTTAATTAAGATAAGCTGTGTGGAATGTATATATACCCCTCCTGTCCTACAATAAACGGCTCCCACTCCTGCTGTATCAATGTACACAAGTTGCTCGTCACCCCCCTCCCCCATTTACTTTGCTGCAGCCGGCTGCGGCAGTCTCCCACCTTAAAAAGGCACCTGTTCCAAATGTCCAGTCCTGGACTTCCACCACGCCCACCAAACTCAAAATTTCCCTCGTCTTCTTTTACTAATCATTAATCTCTCAAGTTTCTATCCCAACCACAGATGGCGCTTTAACATCCAAGCAACATGGCACCAGGATGACACCACCCACTCTCAGTTTATGGGTCAAGGTGATTTTCCTTCCACTGGCTGCAATCGGGTTGTCACCCTTAACATTACTGGATTCAACCAAGCCACCTCTGATACTTCCTAGAGTCCCTACAACAGGACCAATGGCTGATACCAAGAATCTCCTCCACCCAGGACTGGTTTGATGCCATCAAGGACTTGTGGATTCAAGGAACTTTTATGGACTTTACCCCTACCAAAGTAGTTATCTATAGCCACTGAGTGTTATTTTTGGCTGCCCTGATGTTCTCAGACCTGTCCCCCGAACGAACATTCCTCCACTTCCCCTTCTAGGCCCAACGCTGCCCAGAATTAAGCAGGAAGTAGCCAGAGGACTTTACGCTGTCCCCCATGTCATTTAGAAAAACAAAAAGGGAGGAATGTTAGGTGCAGGACAGGCTGAGTAAGCTATCTGCAGGGCATGCCAAACAAAGTTAGCTGCAGGATGACCTGGCCACTCAAACCCTCTGTCTGGTTCTTTATCAACTATTTGCTTCAAGCCCAAACGCCCAAGCCCCCGCTCAAGGCTGAACACTCAACCCCTTGCTCAAGGCCAAACACGTAACACCCTTTGTGCCAACAAGGCAGCTTGCAGACCCAGAGACCTCCTTAGATTTGGGCTATAAAAACTCCCTCCTGCTGGGCTCCTCTCTCTCTTGCTTTCTCTCTCTCTCTCTTCTCTTTCTTTCTTTTCTCCTCTGTTGCACTGCTGCAATAAAGATCTCTTGGTTGCTCCAAGTGTTGTGGTCACTTTTCTTTCAATGTCCTCTTATTTCTTAAGATTAAGGCATAAAAAGTAGTTGAGTGTAGTGGTGCACACCTGTAGTATCTCTTCTGGGGAGGCTGAGGCAGGAGGATTCCAAGTTCAAGGCCAGTCTGGGAAACTTAATGAGACCCTGTCTCAAAATAAAAAAATAAAGACAAAAAGGGATTGGGATATTGCTCAGTGGGTAGACTGCCCCTGAGTTCAATCTCCAGTACTGGGAGTAGGGTGAGGAAGACATGAAAAGGCTGGTTGTAGATGGACACAATATCTTTATTTTACTTATTTATTTTTATGTGGTGCTCATGATCGAACCCAGTGCTTCATACATGATAGGCAAGCCCTCTACCACTGAGCTACAGCTTGAAAAGGCTATTTTATTTTTAAAAATTATTGTTGTTGTTGTTTTCAGTACTGAGGGGTAAAGCCAGGGGCTCTTTACTACTAAGGCACAACTCCAACTCTTTTTATTTTTTTGAGACAGGGTCTTGCTAAGTTGCTGAAGTTCTTGTCAAATTGCTGAGGCTGGCCTCAAACTTGTGATCTTCCTGCCTCAGTCCTCCCAAGTCCTTAGGATTATAGGTGTGCACCACTGTGTCTGGCTGTTCTATCTTTTAAATTTACAATACCAACTGAAAATGAAGTTGTTAAAGCCTCTATCTGAAATTCTTTCCCAAAAAGCTGCATATGTCTCTCCTTTACTTTATTTGGATCTCTGTTCCAATGTTATCTACTCAGAGAAGCTGTTCAGGATCATTTTATCTAAAATAGTAACTTCTTATTGCTCTACCCGCTTACACAATTGTTTTCTTTAAAGCCCCTATCACTACTTCACATATTGTGTATTTATTTTCTGTCAGTTTCCAGCCACTAGAATGTTAGCACTGGAACTTTAGCTGCTTTGCTAACTGACACACCCACTGAACAAAATATAGTGCCTAGCACATAAGTGTTGAATAAATGAATGCTATGCTTGGCTGAACTGAACCAGGAAATAGGCTGATATTCATACTTCTATCTTAGATTTAGAAATTTAACATATTCTGGAAGAAAAGAAAAAATGGTTGCACAAAAATTGTAAAAAAACAGTAATTTATGGAGTGCATATCAACAAAATTCATAGAGGCCGGCATAAGGATGGGCACTCAATTTGAGTGACTATAAATTAGTCACTTAAGTAAGAACTGGTTTCATTTTTCTAAATTTTTAGCAGTTAAGTGCTCCTCTAAAAAAGAAAACAGAAAACTTAAGAAAAATAGAAATTATAATTCTGAATTTCTACCATTAAGGATTATCTTAAAAAGCAAAAGTGAGAATAAAAATATTTTTGTCACTATTACCAAAAACAGCCGATCAAATATAGAAGGCAAATTTTAATCTTTTTCAATTAATCTTTGCTATTTCAGAAAGAATATCAAAATTACCTAACATGTTATTTTAAACATAGTAGATATATAAATACACAAATCTTAAAAATCTTTGCTTTGGCTAGCTAAATTTTATGAACTAGTTAACCTTGAGTTATAAATTTATTTTTTATAAGATTATAAAAGATACATTCTAAATGACTCCTATGTACCATTTACTTTTTTTCTGAAATTATAATGCTTTAAGTGATGGAAATGAACAATAATTACATCAATAACTGTCGTATCTGATTATTTTAAATTACTATTTATTAACTGAAAATCATGATTCTATCAGCTTTTATGTCAAGAATATCCATGTTGGCAAAATACACACTAATAAACGATCTAGTTCTATTTGACAAGTATTTTGTTTGGTTAAATTTGAAGAATTTATTCCCTCATTCTACTGAAAGTTCCATTTCTAAGATTACTCCACTATGTTTATGTTTTTGGGACAAATTTGAAAAATAACATATCATTAAAAATGGGTCAAATTTAGCTCCTTTCCACTTCTTGTTATATGTTTTCACATTTTTTTCTTTTTTCTTTTTTTGGTACTGGGGATTGAACCCGGGGCCCTTTACCACTGAGCTACATCCCCATCCCTAAACTCCTTCATATATCTAGTAATTACTTGGAAAAAATAGGTCCTGCTTATTTCCAACAAAATAGAAAGTTCCAGTTTGTGAAATAGTTGTAGGCAAGAAAAGCTGTTAGGCAAAAAGGTAAGCCCTAATATGACTAAGTGAAAACTTTTACTATATATAAAGAAGAATAATAAGATATATAGGCAGAGATCCATAATGACAGCATAGTGATCTATTATTTCTAAGCTTTTCAGGTATTTCATAATAATAGGAACAAAAGGGTAATCTTCCCTAAAATGTATATAAATGGTTTGCCATTAATTAATTAATTGAATCCAGCAATATATACCATTGATCTACACCAGCTCTTTTTGAGACAGGGTATTGCTAAGTTCTTAGTCTGGCCTCAAACTTATGGTCCTCCTGCCTAAGCCTCCCAGGTCACTGGGATTATAGGCATGTGCCACTGCACCCTGCATGGTTTACTTTTAGTAATAAATATTTATTGGTTTATATTATAAATAAAAACATGTTATTCTTGTAATAAAAAATGGCACATGTGAGCATTTTAATACAAATGATTAGAATATATTTATACTATATATAAGTCTACACATTAGAATACTAAAATTTTGCTATATATAATATCACCCTAGAATTCTTTAAAAAAAAAATCACTGGGAAGAATTAGATGATGTTTGTGAAATAGGTTCTCCCATTACAATACTGCTTCTGTCATTTAGAGTTTTGACAACATTTGTAGCTGGAGACTGAAGCACTTTACGAGAAAGCCTCATTCTTCCATCAGCTGGATCACGACCAAAGTATTTCACCTGTGTTAAAAAAATTTACTTTTTTAAAAGTTATAGCACATTGAATGACCTTCAAAATTAAACACATATGATCTAAATAAAGCAATTATTAATGTTTTTACTTATTCACTGAAAGCACAGCTCAGTGCTATGAAGAGGTATATGCTCAATAAATACAACTTGGTTAGGTAATTATTATAAAAAAGGAAAGAAGGCATTTAGTTGTCTGATTATAACCTTTTGTTAAATCATCTGTCCCTTTTTAGTGTCTCTGAGTCTCCATCCTAGAAGACCAGTAAAAGCCACAGTGATTCTTGACAAGGCTTTCTGTACCTATTTGTGCTACAAACTATACTAGGTCGTGCTCAGATTTTCATTACTGCTCAGGAAACTATCACACTGGAGTTTATTTGGCTTCACTGTGGAAAATGGAAGTTAGGGGGAATGTAGAAATTTTAAAGTCCATCCTGATGTAAAAAAAAAACCAAAACTTTAAATCGAGATATGTTTTAGTTCTCCTTCTTTCCCTAGAGGCTCCATGAACAAAGGGATTATAGATCAGGAATAAACTCGTGGCCTTAGTTACTCAGGTCATGGGTATTAGGTATAACTGGAACACAATGTGGTGCAGCCAAAAAACCCAGATCAGCAATGACTTCTTTCATCAACTAAAAGGACTAAAAAAAAAGTCAATTTTACTATCAGCATTGTAGACTTGAACAACATAGCTCTTATCAAGCTCAAAGTGGTGGAGAAACAGAGTCTCAACTCCTCAAAAATCACAGTCAAGGTTTCCAATAAGGTAAATGATGAGATTTTTATGTCTTTCCCCAAACCACTGAGCCTGCATAACCAATGTGCTCATGCTCTCTCTCTTTTTTGGTACTGGGGATTGAACCCAGGAGCACTTTATCACTAAGCTACATCCACCATTCACAGTCCTTTTTTTTTTTAAATTTTGAGACAGGGTCTCATTAAGTTGTTGAGGGTCTCTTTGATCTTGTAATCCTCCTGCCTCAGTCTCCTAAATTGCTGGGATTACAGGTGTGTACTACCACAACAGGTTTCATGTATTTTTTAAAAGCTCTAAAGATAGCTGTTTTTGCTTAGCTATCAGTTTCTTGAGGGTAAAAACTGTGTCCTAAATCCTTAATGAATCTATATAAAGCAACCCTGAGGTTAAAAAAGAAGACTACATATAAATAATATACATCATAGATGTTAATTTTATTCTTTCAACTTACTTCTTGAAAATGATAATTAAAACTTCAAGTATAATTTAGAACTTTAAGGCTAAAAGTTTGAACATAGGTACCTGAATTTCTTGGCCAACTTCTAATCCTAGGGCAGTGGGATGTTTAATCTGAAAAAAAGAAACAAAACCAAAAACACCATGTTATAATACATTTTTTTTTTCCTCAAGTGGACAAAAGCTTTATTGTTTTCTGATTATAAAATCTGTTAGTTGGGAATGGTGACGCACACTTATAAATTCAGCTATGTGGGAGAATGAGACAGGAGGATTGCAAATTGAGATTGTGTCTCAAAAATAAAAAGGCTAGAGATGTAGCTGAATGATATAACACTTGGCTATATATGTGAGACCTTGGCCCAATCCCCAGTATTATGCCTCTGCCCCCCAAATCTGGAATCCCCAGTACTCTGCCTCCACCCCCTAAATTTATTAATTACAAAATTAAAGTAACATAGTGGTACTGAGAAGAAATTTAAAATCATCCAAAATCCTTCTACCTGCAGATAACTACTGCTAACATTCCAACGAGTATCCCTTCAAATGTCTACTGTATTGCTTTTATAAAAATGGGCCTTTTTTCATTCAATAATACGTTAAGAATGCCTTTTCATATCAATAAATGAAGCATTACAGGAGTATCCAAACTATATAATTTATTTAATCAATCCCTTAAAGATAATCATTTAATTTCTTATAAATTCCCAACATCAAAAATATGAATTACTGATAGATTTAGGTGAAAGGTATATGAGTGTTGAGTGTATTATTCTTTCAACTTTGCAGCAGGTTTAAACTTTTTCGAAATAAAAAGTTGAGACAGGTGTGGTGGGGCATGCCTGTAATCACAGCAACTTGGGTGGCTGAGGCAGGAGGATTGCAAGTTCAAAGCCAGCCTCAGCAACTTAGCAAGACCTTGTCTTAAAGTAAAAAAATTAAAAAAGGACTGAGAATGTAGCTCACTGGTTAAGCTACCCTGGGTTCAATTCCTAGTACAAAAAAAAAAAAAAAAAAAAAAAAAAAAAAAAAGTTGAGGAAAACCCCCAAAGTTTTAATGTTGCACTGATCATTTAATTATCTACTCTAATTATCTTCTGAGAATAAAGTCCTACATATGGAACTTGTGGGATCAGAGACATTTACCAAACATTCCCCAAAGTGTGTCACAAAATTGTCCCTTAATAACGGTCTAGAGAATATCCTTCTTTTCTCTTACCCACACTAGAAATTTCCAACTACTTGAAAGTTAAAAATATATTGATTTTATTGAATTTAAAAAAATTATTATTGATATAGAATACTATGATTGGTTTGAGAAAAGGGGGGAAAAAAGCCTGGGGTTAGGGCTATAGATCAGTAGCATGAGTACATGCTTGGCATGTAGGAGTCCCTGGGTTCAATCCCTAGCACCAAAAAAATAAAAAATAAACAAAACGCCAAATGAAAATCAAAAAGCCTGCCCATATTCTTTGCTCATTTTTCTATTGATATTCATTTTTAAATGATCTATAAAACTTGTGTATATTCAGCCCGTCCTATGTTACAAGCACATTCCCATAGGTTGCTGTTTGTCTTTCATTATTGTGATTTTTGCCATACAATTAAATTAAAAAATTGCAGTTAAATTCTTATCAATTTATTTACATTTTTACCTTTGATACAATGAGAAAGGGTTCCTCAGCACAAATACCAAAACATTCTTACTTTCTTCTAGAGTCTCCCTCCTCCAAAATTTTATTTCTTATTCCTACCATCTCTTTAGAAAATTTAGCTGTTTAATTTAGATGGAATTTTGGTATAAAAATGACTGAAGATCCTACTATGATAACCAATTATATACAGTGAAAATTGAATAATTTGTATTTCTTTCTTTCTTCTTCTTCTTTTTTTTTTTTGTACTGGGGATTGAACTCAGGGGCACTTAATCACTGAGTTACATTCCCAGTCCTTCTCATTTTTTAAAATTTGAGACAGGGTCCCACTAAGTTGCTGAGGCTGGCCTTGAACTTATGATCCTCCTTGGGGCCTTCAGAGTTGCTGAGATTATAGATGTGTACTGTTGCACCCAGCAATTTTTATTTCTTCATTTAGTAAAAATGCAACTTTAAGCATGTATTATGGACCTATGTATATAACTGGGTTTATTTTTTGGTCTCTCTCTCTCTCTCTTTTTTTTTTGTATAGATTCTCTAATCCTGGGCCAAAAAATATTTTCTTTTATTCTCTGTAGCTTTATATTTTAATATATGGTAAAATGGAGACACTTATTATTCTCTGACCCCTGTATTTTCATTGAGTAGTCAGTCTGTCAGATGTCTGAATTATAATTAAGATTAATGAATTTAAAACATTTCAAGAATTAGATTCCCATCATTGGTTGGTCAGTAGAAAATTGAGAAATCATAGTTACATGTAGATATTTTCAGTCACTGCTATGTGCTAGTTCCAGATGTTATTCAACCTTAAAATGCTTAGGAGAAACATAAACATCTGTGCTAAACAATGTAAAATCTTTTGTCAGCAGTATCTCTGCCATTTTTGTTTTCTGTACTTAAACTAGCAATCAAGAAAGTGTACAATTCTCACCAATCCAAGTAATTTCTTTTTTTTTGGTCCAGGAATTGAACCAGGGACACTTAATCACCGAGCCACAACCCCAGCCCTTTTGTTTTTTAACTTTGAGTCAGGGTTTCGCTAAATTGCTAAGGGCCTCGCTATTTAGATGAGACTGGCTTTGAACTTGTGATCATCCTGCCTCAGCCTCTCCCACCAATGGAATTAGAGGTGTGCACCACCAAATACCCAACTGATCCAAGTAATTTCAACATGGTTATATTCAGGCAATAAAAATAATCAAATCTGTATTTTTACCTTTCGTTGATCAAGTTGTGTGTTATGAAGAAGCACAGCAGTCATATTTGGATATAGTTTTACCATTACTCCAGTGTCTCTACAAGAAGGGAATAAGCCTGGTTAAAACAATAAGTGTATCTACTGACAAAACTTATTATGTTTTCATAGACGGAAAAAGTAACAAAACAAAACAAAAGCCCACACCAGTATATAATTATAAAAATTATGATTACCTAAAACAGGTATTTTTCAACTGAAAATATACTAATACTTGTCATCAAAAGAAAAAGCTTTTAGTATATTTACCTATATCTCTTTTGTAACTTCCAAATTTTTTTGAAATGACATTCAATATTTTAAAATAGTATAGAATATTAACCTATTAGAAGTGATTTAAGAAAGGGGTTACATAAAATAGAAAAATTATTTAATTAATAAAGCTCTCTTTCTTTGCTTTAATCTATTAAGCTAAGCCATCCTATTTCTTATTTTTTATCTGCAATATTAAACAAATTATCCCACTGCCTTTATTCATTTTAAATAGTTTTAAACATTCCTGCTACCTTGGTAATTTCTTTAAAAAAAAAAAAGGAATTCTGGGATTATTTTAGCTAGTTAAAAATGCTTTTGAAGTTGAAATTGGCTTTTAAAAATGTATATATTAAACAGTAAGTAGTACTCTTTAACTGCTGTTTAGCCAACTGCTGGGTATGGTAACTGCATGCCTGTAATTCCAGCTCCTTCAGAGGGTGTGGCAGGAGTATCACAAGTTGAAGGCCAACCTGGGAAAGTTAGCAAGAACCTGCCTCAAAAAAAGAAAAACATTTTTTTTTTTTTTAAAACAGGCCAACAATAACAAAAAGAAAATATTGATTTTTGTGTTTTGGGCCTATTTATTGTTACTGGAAAAATTAAAATGGTAGAAAATTTGGTTAAAGAAAAAAACTCAGAAGAACCTATCACTTGAAAATCTACAAACTGGCATAGAAAATAAAATACAGTACAACTTAAAAAATATTACTGATTATATGGCAATTGACATATAATCCAAACACTTTATATTTTCAAAGTAAATAAAACAAATGTGAAGTTAACCTGGACTTGAAATCTTTGAAAACCCAGTGTAGTGTATTAGTTGGTAGTACCTGATTTCAGTTATTGTGGCAGTATAAACTGCTCCAAACTCTAATTGTTGCTCTTGCTGTGAATTAAAAAAAAAAAAAAAAAGCCATAAGATTCACAAAGAAAACAAACAAAAAGAAGATAAAGCAATTAGTATAAGATCTATACTTACATCATCTTTGCAGATTTCACTAATGAATTCTTTTGCTTCATGCATTGCACTGGGTGTTGGTGCAAATACAGAAAATGTTTCTTCATCCAACTGATTAATAGTTACACCTTTTAAAAAGATAGTTTAGTTCCCAGCATCCAAAAAAAAAAAAATCATGGAGACTAGTCTGAAAGTCACTAGGAGAGCAAAGAGGGGCAGCTGGGCAGGTTTATTCAGTGTAATCATTGCTTTGGGAAGGGATCAATTCATCAACACATATATACTGCACACCTGCTATATATCTGGCATTATATTAGGTCCTGGGGATAAAATAGAGAACTAATGTCCTATCATATCAGGGCTAATTTTTGAGGCTCTTGTTTTATTCTCTTAATTATGACTAGAAACTATACTAGAATCCTTCCTCACCTTTTTGTCTCTCTTCCTCTTATCCTGTAGAGTGAACAGATGAATGAGGAACAAAATCATGTCAGTTTCTCATTCTCAACAACTAGCTATGACAACTTTGCTTCTTATCCTTCTTCAATAACCTCAAAGCTGCTAAGTATTAGGAAACCTAAACACTGTTTTCAGAAGAAACAAATTAAGGCATAACTATTTCTACATATACTTTAAAATAAAAAGAGTGTAAATAAAACTAAGCAAAATTAGTAATAAAAAATTCAAACATAACTTCACTAAAGGGAAACACTAAAAATTATTCAGGAACAATCCATTTAAAAATGTTGCCAAAAAACCTTGATGAATGCTTGACTACCCTTCTTGAATATAGTTAAGAATTAAACATTTACTGAGGCACACAAAAAACTCACAGAAAAGACATGAAATCCTTCTCTCCTGGTCTTTCTCTTTGTTTTTCAAATATATATATTTTCGGAACAACATAGTAAAGATAAAATAGCAAAACTACATATCCAGCATTTAATAAAACCCACCTGTTTTATTAGATTAAATAAAATCTCACCTGTTTCAGCTTGAAGTTTTTTTAAATGATATCCACCTGGTCCAACAAATCTTGCTCGTTTTGATAATGGAACCTGAACAGTTTCTGAAATGCAATACAGATAAATACATAAATGAACCTAAAACATGTAGAAATATTTAATTATGAAACAGAAAGACAATGTTACTTGATTAAAAATGTCTAGGAGTACCCCCTAGGTTAAAATAAAGTATTTTTCTTTTATTTTTTAATTGATACATAAAAACAAAAAAATTATACATGTTTATGGGCTACAATGTGATGTTTCTATACACATAGTGTAATGTTGAAATAAGGGTAAACATATACCTAAATATTTTAGGTATTTATCCTCCATGGTGAAAATATTCAAAACACTTCTAAAGTATTTTAGCAATAAAAGTACTTTGAATATTTTTATTTTGTGTATGGGGTAAAAAAAATTAAAAACCTATAATATACTTTCACATACTAATGTTTGTTATGGTGAAATCAGTATTCATTTGTTTTTTTGACTGTTTGTACTAAGGGCTGATCCCAGGAGCCCTTCATTCACTGAGATACATTCTCAGTCTTTTTTTTTTTTCCAAGAGAGGGTTTTTTTTTTTTTTTAAGAGAGAGAGAGAGAGAGAGAGAGAGAGAGAGAGAGAGAGAGAGGGGAGAGAGAGAGAGAAATTTTTTTATATTTATTTTTTAGTTTTCGGCAGACACAACATCCTTGTTTGTATGTGGTGCTGAGGATTGAACCCGGGCCACACGCTTGCCAGGTGAGCGCGCTACCGCATGAGCCACCTCCCCAGCCCCCCAAGAGAGGGTCTTGATAAGTTGCACTGTCTGGCCTGGAACTTGAGATCCTCTGGCCTCAGCCTCCTGAACCACTGGAATAATAGGTGTGTAGCACTGTGCATGGTGTGACATTAGTGATAATTTTAATGTATTACCTACAACAGGTCCATTTTCTTTTCTAGATGCTCGAGGTTTTGAAATAGTTTTGTTCATAATCTGTAGTATCTCTTTCTTTGCCACTAGAAAGATAAAGACACAATAAAGGTTACAACTACATAACGTGGGACCCGAAATAGCTGCATTCGGGAGTCCCGTGGCCCTGCCCCACCCTACTCCCTACTGGAGATGAAACTCAGGGTCTTGAACATTCTAGGCAAGCACTCTATCACAGAGCTATATCCCCAGTACTTTTCCTTTATTCCTCCCTATTTTGAGATAGGGTCTCACTGAATTGCCCAGGATGGCCTTGAACATTGTGATCCTCCTGTCTCAGTCTCATGAATAGCTGGGATTACAGTTATGCAACACCCTGCCTAGCTCACTCTTAGTTTTTATGGAATAAAATTCAAACTCTTTAGCCTAATAATCAAAGCTCTCCATATCATAATTATTTTAAAGATTCACTCATATTCCGTCCTTTATAAAGTCTATCTTAGATGCTTAATTGCTGAAAATCAAAATTTCTCTGGTCTCTTTCTTGGATGATTAGTCATGTGCTCAATAATTAATACTTCTTGATCCCAGTTAAATCATATAAAATTCATTTTTATTTTTGGCCATGCTAGTGGTCAAACCCAGCATCTCACGCATACTAGGCAAGCACTCTACCATTGAATTATATCCCTAGCCATATGAAATTCCATATATTTACATTTGTTTGTATTTTTTTAAATTGGTACTTGGGATTGAACCCAGGGACACTTTGCCACTGAGCTATAACCCCAGCCTGTTACTCTTTATTTTGTGACAGGGTGTCACTAAGTTGTCAGCTGGGATTACAGGTGTGCACCATGATGTCTGGCTGAAATTCCATTTTTTAAAGGAAATATCTTATAATAAGTCTAATGAAAATTATTGTTCCAGTTGACTAGACACTGGCTTACCTGATGCTTGCTGAATGGCTTCCATTACAATTTTCATTGGTATTCCAGGTAATTTAATATCAGCCTAATATGGAAGGGCCAAAAATAAATGAATAAAAACACTGATTCATAACATTATTTAAATTTACAAAAATGAGACAAAGTACGTTTTAAAAATACCTGTAATGCAGTTATTCCCTTATTAGTACCAGCTATTTTGAAATCCATGTCTCCATTGTAATCTTCAATTCCCTTTACGAATTTAAGAAATTATGAAAAAATTTTAAACAAAAACAAAATTCACCCATAGTCACTGTACAAGAATTTTAAAACATAGCCTTAGAAGTAAACCATGTCCTCTAAGACTAAACATAAAGAAAAGTCTCCTATATTAACTGCTGCTTCCAATTTGTGGCTTTTTAAAGATACAAATATTTTCAACAGAAACATTATTTTTAGATCATGCCTTTCACAATAAATGTGTAAGAATTAATTTACAAATTATCCTAAAGCAAGTCATTATGGATACCTATCCTGTAATATATATTTTTAACATATCCTTTAAAATCCAAGGCAATATACAGAAGATAAAAGTAAGAATCACTTGACCTCTATTCTTTGAGAACCAGCATTCTTCTAAGCATATGCTATTTTTGAAGTATTTATATTTAAAACTGGGAATATACTTGCCAGAATATCTGTCAGCAAACGATAATCTTCTATTTCACCCTTCTCAGGATTGCTTTTGGTGACCAATCCTATTGCTACACCTGCAACAGCAGATGAAATTGGAACCCCTAGAAGTGAGAAAAGATAATTTTGTGTAATGTGTATATCAACCTAACACATATTTATTTATTCTGTTGACATTTATTTTAATGAAAGGGGATGATGTTTCCTAAATAGACAATCATGAGAGCTAAATAGACAATCATGAGAGCTAAGTTGGAAAGGTCTTAACAGATCCTCTAACTACCTCATTTCTTATGGAAACTATAATAAAGTCCCTTAAAACAACTTTAAGAGGTAATCCTATATTTGGCATAAACCTTTATCAAAATTGCAAACTTTATAACTCAAATGACTCATTGCTTTTGGTGTCTTCTTCTAGCCTGAACCCCTCATTGGCACCATTAATAGAACCTCCCAGAAAATTTCTGTGCACAAGTATAAATGTAAACATAATTTTAAAAAAAGGTTTTTTGTAGTTGTAGATGAACAGAATGCCTTTATTTTCATGTGGTGCTAAGGATCAAACCCAGTGTCTCACACATGCTAGGCAAGTACTCTACCACTGCTACAGCCCCAGCCCTAAATTTTTATTTTCTTTACTCATGGGAGCAAGGTATAGGCATTTGTTACTCTGCACATACCCTTTTTTAATTAACAACTTATCTTGGATAATGATTCATTTCACTAACAAAGCTCTACTTTATTTCTTTGAATGACTGCATACTACTCATCATATATATTTTTTCCACATGTTCCATATATTTTTATAAGTCATAAACAGAAATAAAATTGCTGAATTAAAAGATATTTGTAGGGCTGGGGTTGTGGCTCAGTGGTAGAGTGATAATGGTCTTAAAGAGATAAGGTTGGACAGTGCCTTGCATGTGTGAGGCACTGGGTTCAACTCTCAGCACCACATACAAATAAATAAAATAAAGGTCCATTCACAAATAAAAAATATTTTTAAAAAAAGTATTTGTATTTTATACTTGCTATACTGTCACATTATGTATAAAAGGATACATGCTATCCTAAATTGTACCTAACTCTTGTTACACTTTTTGATCCCTGTCAACCTAAGGAGCAAAAATGGTTACTTATTTTTAAATTTGATTTGTTTTTAATAAGTGTGGTTGAACACATGCATGTTTGTAAGCCTACTTACATATCTTATTTTGAAGAATTGCCTGTTTATGGTCTTCAACCACTTTTTACATAGTAATCTTTTCCTGTTTTGTTTGTTCATTTTGTTTATAGTGACTTTTTTCTGGGTAGAATTTTAAAAATTTATGTAATCCTGGCTCCCGGATTTTGCTTAAAAAGGCATTCGTCTCTAAGATTTTGATAAAATCTTATTTCATTAAAAAAAAAGTATGTTTTTATTACTTGTAACTTATTTTTAGCATAAAGGAATGTGATTAAAAAAACCTTAAAGGTACAAAAAGATGAAAAGATATTAGCAATTCAAAGAAATAATACAAATGTGTACAGGACACACAGGGAATAAATAATGAACTAGGGGGATGTGGCTCAAGCGGTAGCACGCTCGCCTGGCATGCGTGCGGCCTGGGTTCGATCCTCAGCACCACATACAAAGATGTTGTGTCTGCCAAAAACTAAAAAATAAATATTAAAAATTCTCTCTGTCTCACACCTCTCTCTTTAAAAAAAAAAAAAATAATGAACTAGGTTGAAGGTAACTGACTCAGAGAAACTCTCATCTCATTTGGATGAGAAATGGAAGCTCCATAAAAACAAGAGCTATTTTATTAATAACCATGTCCCATCTGGTTTTAAAGACTGTGCAATGTTATGAAACAGTATAGTATGTTTCTAAGTGTACTAATGGTAGAGTGCTTGCCTAGCACAAGGCCTTGGGTTTTTCTACCTTAGTACCACCACAAAAAGGAAAGAAAAAAAATCTCCTGAAAGAAGATAATGGAGAACTTGAAATATTCTGAGTGTCATATTTTGAGTCTGCTTTTTAACTTTTTTTCTTTTGAGTAAGGCCAACTTAGATAATGGCCTTAAGGGGATAAGGTTGGACAATCCAGGAGGTGAAGGGACAGAAAATCTGGAAAGCCAGCAGGGAGATTGCTGCAAAAGAAGAAATGATGTGGACTTGAACTAAAGTAATAGCAATAGGTACTTCAGTAGTCAAGGGAAAGGATATTTTTCTTAAAATTTTGGAAGATATGGGCTGGGGATGTGGCTCAAGTGGTAGCACACTCGCCTGGCATGCGTGCGGCCCGGGTTCGATCCTCAGCACCACATACAAACAAAGATGTTGTGTCCGCCGAAAACTAAAAAATAAAAATTCTCTCTCTCTTAAAAAAAAAATTTTTGGAAGATAAACAGATCTTTGTGACTTTGAGAGAATGTAAGAAATGAGAGAACTGTTGATTCTGGCATGAATGTCATCGTTGCTTTCTACCAAGATGAATACAAAAGGAAAACTATTTAAATTAGAGTGACTCAATTTTAAATGAATTAAAATATATATTATGCTGTGGGGGACGTTAGCTAGAGATGTCCAAGAGGCAGTTTATATGGATCCACGATTTGGCAAAGAGAGCTAGGTTGAAGGGGTAAATATTTAAGTCATAATCATTATAGTGGTAGTTAAAACACTGAATATAGGTGAGATTGCTTAGAATGTCATCCTGAAGTTTTTATCATTACATCACTGCCAGGATGGGTTTTTCTTTAGAACAAAAGATCTGAATTAAAGCTTAAACACAGGGATTCTATCACTGAGCTACATTCCCAGTCGTTTTTTAAATTTTATTTTTAGAAATGGTCTAAGTTGCCAAGGTTAGCCTCAAACTTGTGATCCCTATGCTTTAGCCTCCAGTGTAGCTGGGATTACAGATATATGCCACCATGCCCAGCATGATGTCTCTTATTTTATCTTTTGATTAATCTTTTTCAGAAGTTTTTCTGTTTTCCAATATAATATTTGGATGAGAAATGCAAGCTCCATAAAAGCAAGGGCTATTTTATTAATAAACCACGTCCCAAGAGCTTAGATCAGTGTTTGGCTCACAGCACACAGATTTGTTTAATGCATACATGAAGATGAAAACCAGTAGCAGAATATTACCACCTATCTTGTATATTACATTTTCCTTCAGTGAACACAACTAGAAAAAATTCCTTATGCATTTTTTCTTTTGTTTAGCTTGATCCAAGTTTTAATTTTTCTGAAATATTTCTATTATATATTCATACTATTTCATTTCACCTTTGGTTGTCTTCCTTTCCACCTTTCACATATATACTGTAAATGTGTGAAATTATTAGAGAATTCCTTTGTAGCCTCTTTAGGTTCCTTTCCTTTTTCTTCTTCTTTTTTCCCCCGGGTACTGGGAACTAAATTTAGGGCCTTGTGCATAGTAGGTGAGTACTCTACTGCTGAGCTTCATACATCCCCAGCCCCCCTTTCTTCTTAAATAACATCAGTGGTACCTATATGGTAGAAACTGATAACTAGTTTTGAGAGCATAACATGCCAACTTTTTCTCTTCTAGTATTTCAGACCCAGGATGAACCACTCACATTCTATCTTCCTAAAATTCTATGTACACTTTTGGAGTAGCACAATCTCAAAGGTTACATGTTGACTTTCTCTAAAGGGCCCTAATCCTTCTGTTACTAATCAAAAACTTCTCTGGTGGTTGGAATCAATTCTGGGGCTCTACTTTTTGGAAGGTAAGAAAATTCCCTGGGTCACTGTAATGGTCAATTGAATAGTCAGCTTGATTGGATTAAGAGATGCTGAGGATTAAAAGGCTCAACAGGGTGTCAATGAGGGTACGTCTAGGAATGATTGGCATTTGGGATAGCCAATTGAAATGGAGATCCTTCCTGAGCATGGGCAGCACCATCTAATAGGATGATGAGTTGGATGGAATAAAAGTTGGAAGAACAAGGAAGCAGCAGCAGACGCAAGCTCCATTCTTCTTGAACAGGTTCTTGATTGATGCTGTAATTATCTGAGGATATCCGACTCTCACTTCTTCACTCTTTCGAAGCAGACTCTGCCAGTGATTCTCCAGAAGCCTTCTGTCTTGTACTAGGGTAGGGTAGCACTGTTGATCCCTCTTGTTCTGGGGCATTAGCCTCTTAGAATGTGCTGCTACTGGTTCTTCCAGCTCTCCAGCCTGTAGATGGCCATTGTGAACTATCCAGCTTCTGGTCCCATAAGCCAACCTAATAAGTCCCCTTTTTGTAATTATACTTCCTGTTGATTCGGCTCCTTTAGAGAACCTTGACTAATACAATCACTAAGACAAGTAATTCTCAGTGTACTGCTTTTATCTAAAAATAAGAATTCCAAAAAATATCTGGATATTTGAAGGATTACTTTTGCTACTATCTTACCTTTGGCCTGGCTTGGTAATCTATAACCTGACTTCAAGTCTTACTAAAATTCAGTTTTAAAGAAACCTTATATTTTATGCTAATCAAATTAAGTATAAAGTAATAGCAATTTTGAGACACAATTCTTTTACCTGCATCCATTAATGCCAAACTTCCACCACATGCAGATGCCATAGAAGATGACCCTATCAAAACAAAAGACTTGCTTTATAATATACTGATTTTTTTAAAAAAAATGTAGAATATTGTTACATTAATGATATCTTTATTTCTTTTTCTCGCTTTTTTGGTACTGAGAATTGAACCTTGGAGGCACTCAACCAGTGAACCACATCCTCAGTCCTTCAAGACAGGGCCCTCACTAAGTTGCTAAGGCTAGCCTTGAACTATGACCCTCCTGCCTCAGCCTCTTGAGTTGCTGGAATTACAGGCATGTGTACTTCAATAATTTCTTTAAAAATATTCAATAGCCTTTTCATCCTACTTTTTTTTTTTTTTGGTACCAGGAATTGATCCCAGGGACAGTTAATTTCTGAGCCACATCCCAGACCTTTAAAATTTTTTTTTTCTTTTAAAATTGTGAGATAAGGTCTTGCTAAGTTACTTAGGGCCGCTCTAAGTTGCTAAGGCTGGCTTTGAACTCAGAATCCTCCTGGTTCAGCCTGATTACAGGCATGCACCATGGCACTCAGCTTCTTCCTACTTTTCAGAAGTGGTTAAAATCAAGTTCTTGGGCTGGGATTGTAGCTCAGTGGTAGAGCGCTTGCCTAGCATGTGTGAAGCACTGGGTTTGATTCTCAGTACCACATATAAATAAATAAAATAAAGGTCCATGGACAATTAAAATAAATTCCTAAGCCACCAACTACAGAGTTACATGGCCCAATATAGTAGGTGTTAGCCATGTGTGGCTACTTAGTGTTCCCTGTCTAATGAGTCACTGTATTTTTGCCCCTTTTCTTTCTAAGCTGGCCTTGTTCTATGTTTTGTCAAAAATGAACAAATGACCCATATTGGATTGATTATAACAGATACAAAAAGAAAAATACTTGTCTTACACTGATTTACAAAGAGTTCATTAGCTAAGAACAGAGACTCAAAACAAATAATAGGCTCAAGTTTATGATCAACCAAACACAGTTTTTCATGCAATAGGTTTGGGCCCTGTGGTAATAAACATCTTGTAACATTACTTTTGAAAAGTTAAGAATATAACAGGGAATCTGGTCTTTTCCACTAGGGAAAAAATAATACATACCGTTCGACTCTAAGACTTCAGATGTCACTCTTATGGTAAAAGGAAAATCTTTGGGAATAACAGGATACAAAGCTTTCTCAGCAAGAGCACCTAAGTTAGAATAAAAAACAGTAAGTAAAAAATATATTAAAAACAATAGGCAAAAGTGTACTAAAAAGTCTCTGTAAAAACACCATAAAAGTTCATAGATTATACTCACCATGCCCAAGCTCTCTTCTATTTATGCCAGTGACTTTGCCAATTTCATTAGTTGCATAAGGAGGAAACTTCAAAGAAAACATACATATATAACCAACATGGAAAGATGCCCAAGATACATTACCAAATGAATAAAACAAATTACAAAACAGTAAAATCCCAATTTTTTTTAAAACAAAAGTAGGTTCATTTATGCCAGAACATGTTGGGTATAAATCTAAAATAAACTGCTAAAAGTAGCCATTTGTAGTGTGTAAAACTATGTTCTAGGAAGTGAATGATTATAGAGATAGACAACATAAATTTCCATACTGTTTAATACTAACAATAACAAAGTATCTTTTTGTAATAATAATAAAATATATATATTTAAGAAGTACACATCGAGGAAATAAATATCACTTTGATAAGGGTTTTATTTTACCCAGAGGTTATAAACTGTTTTGTTTTGATAGAAATGTTATCTGCAAGGTATACAAATTAGTTGATCATTTAAAAATTGAAGCTGCCCCATAAAAATCTGAAATTCCAATTTAACAAAAATTTTTAAAAGGATCAATAGGGAGGCTAAGGCAGGAGGATTCTAAGTTCAAGGTCAGCCTCAGCAACTAAAGGAGGCCCTAAGCAACTTACTGAGACTCTGTCTTAAAATAAAACAAACAGCAATAATTCAAGAATCGGATCAAACCCCTGGATCTAGCAGTCAATTTGCAGGAAATAGAGGAGAGAGAGGAATATGCTGACATATACCATGAGTGTGCAATCAACAATGCCCAGATCAAATGGCTTTGGACTTTAGTAGATAGATTGTAAAGAAAGTGATGGAGTAGAAATGCACAGATTAAAAGACTTAAAGAAATATCACATATAAGAAAAATTGACAAGTCTAAAGTATCTATGGATATACACTGAAAATGTAAAGAAATGGTTACTATGAAACTCAGGAGAAGGGGCTGGGGATGTGGCTCAAGCAGTAGCGCGCTTGCCTGGCATGCGTGCGGCCCGGGTTCGATCCTTAGCACCACATACAAACAAAGATGTGTCTGCCGAAAACTAAAAAATAAATATTAAAAAAAATTCTCTCTCTCTCTTTAAAAAAACAAATAAAAATAAAAAAATAAAACTTAGGAGGACAGTTGGTACTTTTAGGGGAAAATGGTTGTTGAGACTGGGATGAAAAACATGGGGAAGATTCAGAGGTGGCTGGTGATATATTCCCTGACTTGAGTGGTTGTTAAAAGGGTGTTTGCCTTGTAAAAACTCACTGTCATCTTCTGTTTTATATGGTTTACAGAGGGTCTTAAAAATGGAATAATATGGCAATAATAGCCCATTTCTTTTCTGGCTTCCCCTTTCATCCTGTTCCACAGTTAAAAACCAGAGATGCATTTTCCACAACTGTCCTTTCTAGATTATCACATGCTCACTAGTTAATGACAAAGGATGTGCTTTATTCAATTATAATTCCTCTCTGGCTTTCTGTAGCTTCTGGATATATCTAGAACAGTGTATTTTTAAGGGATTCAGACCAGTGATAATCTTCCGGTTCATTGCTATTTGCAGCAAATACTTTCTATATAATATATTCTGTATTTTTGTTACTGGGGATTGAACCCAGGGGTACTCCACCACTGAATTATATCCCCAGTCCTTCTTTATTTTATGACAAGGTCTCAGTAGAGCACAGTGGCACATGCCTATAATCTCAGCAACTCAGGAGGTTGAGACCCTGTAACAAAATAAAAAATAAAAAGGGTTGGGGATGTAGCTTAGTGGTAGAGCATCCCTGGGTTCAATTCCCAGTACCAAAAAAAAAAAAAAAAAAAAAAGACAGGGTCTTGCTAAATTGCTGAGGCTGGCCTTGAATTTACAATCTTCCTATCTCAGCCTCCTGAGTTGCTGGGATTACATTTACGGGTCACTGTGCCCGGCTATAATATGTTCTCTATTGATTATAGCAGGTTTGCCTAAGGTGAAGTATTGGGATTCTAGGCAGTCAACAGTGTTATCCAAAAGTGAAGTAACTTATTACTTTATACTAGCTTCCCATAGCATATACCTCAAGTAATAAAATCAAAGAATTATATTTTATATCTAGTCCCTTAGAATTAGTTGTAAAGATCAATCACAAACTTAATCATATATAATGACTTCATATAAAGAACAATGTTAATTACCTTAGATCATTTACTCATCAACTAAGTAAACATGAACATTTAAATGAGCTAATGGGATTGGGTGATTTTTTAAATCAAATTTGAAATGCTCCACTTTTGTTTGACACACGTTAGGTATAACTCTCTTACCTAAAACAGCACTGTCTAATAATATACTTTCACTTTTATGTATGACTCAGAATAAGAAGTTACTGTACTATCTTCTGTATGCAATAAAATAGCCCCTAAAGTAACTTAACAAATGTATGATAAAATGTTAATGGGATAATTTAGGTAGTAAAGATAAGAAAATTCACTGCAAAATTCTTTCAATGGTGCTGTATCCTAGAAATTTTCCACAATTAATGTTGGGGAAAAAATTCACCTTACCTCATAGTGTAGCATGAAATTTTTGTCTTTTATCCCACTATAAACAAAAAGCATAATATTAAAAACATTATAGGGATAAATTTATTTCATTAAATAAATTTCAATATATTTATTTCAATAGACAACTAAAAAAAAAAGATTTAAGAGCATCTGAAAAAAACCTGGATATTAATGAGAGTTGGTTGAAACAGAAAACATGAAGAATTAGATGAACGAGAGAGGATATATAAGTGTGTGTGTGTATAAAATATATACATATTTTTTTTCTCCTTCTTTTGAGATAGGGTCTTGCTATGTTGTCCAGGTGGGTCATGAACTTCCAGGGCTCAAGAGACCCTCCTGCCTCAGACTCCCAAGTATCTGAGAGATGGTATTTTTTTCCCTGTGACTTATGAATTAATTCTACAAGTACTCAGGAAAACGATTTTGCTTCAAATACCCTTAAATATTAGGTTTGAATAGTATGGAAGAAGACATATATTTTTAAACATTAGTAATAATTGAGAGAATATTAAATGTTATAAACACAATAGTTCAATCTCAGAATTATAATCTTTCTCTTCTTAGTCACCCTGTAAAATGAAAATTGGTAACTAAAATGATATAACACAACAACCAGAAGATCTGTCAGGCAAACACAAACATCTTTTCAGGGTTGGGAAAAAGAACTACTGTCAAAATATCTGGAAAAATGGTAAAAAAATAAGGATGAGAAGAAACAATTCCTGGAGGTAGGAAACTAGGTTTATTATGAATAGTCACATAGTAGGGTCAAAGAACAGATGATGCCCACTTTGTGTAGAATAAGCAAAACACACTTATCTGTGTAGAAATCACTGGCCCATTTTACAAAAAAAAAAGGAAACCAAAGGTCAGATGGATGAGTGATGTGTGTTCCCTCATTTACACAATTATAGATGTAAGACTAGAATATATAGAAAAGAGAAAGGAGTCAAAAGTGAAAAAGTGCAGGGCAACCCAGTTTGGGCTCAAATATTTGATAAAATATAGACTAATTATTAGGATGAACATTCCAGCCTTATATATAATTTTTGTCAGATACAAAAAAAAAAAAAAAAAAAAAACCAACTAGAGTAACTCCTGAAACACTAGAGATTATCCTTGTTAGTAGGGCAGTAAGAAGAGGAAAGCAAGGAAGCAGGCTTTCCCTATTAGCCAATGAGGAAAGAAAGTAGTTCCAGGACTCTGAAGTGGTGGTGCTGTAGGGCTTGATCATCTAATAGTGACTGACGTGATTTTACTACTGATGTTTTAGAAACAGGAGGAGAGCCAGTATTTCTGAACACAAAATCACAATGTGGCTTGGATTACATTTTTCATTAACAGCCTCCAGATTATTCTCAGCAACTGGGACTTTTGCCAATTTATTTGTTCTCTAATTTAAAATAGAAAAACTAATCCATTCAAAATTACCTAGAAAATCGGTTGTGAGGAATGATTCTAGAGGCAGAGAATAATCTAAATGTATTCACATTAAATAATTAAGTTTGTTCCAATTACGTGTTCAAAACCAATAATTTAGAAGAAAATACAACACATGCACACACAAATTCCTTGAAATTCTGACTTCATAAACAGAATAAAGTACAGAGATACTGGTTAAAAAAGTAATAATGACTAATAATATAACACATGAGCTTTAATTCTTTATAGGAACATCACAAAATAACACTGGAAAAACATAACTTACTTTATTGCTGTTATAATTCGGTCTGATTTAATACTAGATTCTAATGAATCAAACGTAACAGTACAAAGCACCTAAAAAAGAAGGAAAAATTTCTTGGGCTTTAATGCACTAATGACAAAGATAAAAACAACAACAAAAATACACATTTTGTGTTTTGGGGGGGTCTTTGTGCATCCTCTACTGCTGAGCTACACCCTTAGCTCAAAAATAAAAGTGAAGAACCCAATTAACTTTTTCAAAAAAAGGTAATAAATACATTCTATACAATACTGGCCATGACACTTAATATAGTAAATACTTATTCATTCTCTGTATATTCAAACTGTATGTAAAACTGAATAATCCAAAGGTCTAACATTATCATATAGACTACATATATAAAACACACAACTTAGGCATGTTAGGGAGGAAGAAGGAAGAAGAAAGAAGGAATATTTTAAAAAACTATGTACTAGTCCAAAGAAGCCTCAACAAAGGTGCAATCAATGAAACAGACTGCTTAAAAAAAAAAAAAAGTCAATCTTCTTTGGAGGAATATAACATAATTCAGAAATGGTACAATGCATCATTAACAGGTTCAGGATACATTCTAAAGAAACAGGAAACAAGGCCCAATCTCAAGACAAAAGATACAGAATGGAGACTGATTTTAGTTAAGATGTTAGATTAGCAGGGCAGGTGTAGGGCAGGTGTAAGGGTACATATCTATAATCCCAGCCTCTTAAGGAGGCAGAAGGATCACAAGTTCAGGGCTAGTGGAGGAAATTTAGTGAGACCCTGTCTCAAAAAATAAAAGGGGCTGGGGATGTAGCTCAGTGGTAAAGTGCCCCTGGGTTTCACCCCTAGTATCAAAAAACCAAAAAAACAAAACAACAACAATAACAACAACAAAAACAAAATACAAAAAACAACACCACCATCATCAACAACAAAACAGGAGACTGATAAAAGACTTTCAACAGCTCTAATAATTATACTGAAGGACATAAAGAATTAACAGAAGCTGGGCATGGTGGTACATGCCTGTAATCCCAGAGGCTTGGGAGGCTAAGGCAAGAGAATCAAAACTTCAAAGCGAGTCTCATCAACTTAGTAAGGCCCTAAGCAACTTAGCAAGACCCTGTCTCAAATTAAAAAATAAAAAAATAAATTAAAAAAAAAATACAGGCTGGGGATGTGGCTTAGTGATTAAGTGCCTCTGGGTACAATCCCTGGTATAAAATAAAGCAAAACAAAACAAAAACCAAAAATTCTAGAACTGAAAAATGTATTACTTCATAATTGAAAGGAGATGAAAAGTCAATGAACATGAAGATAGATTAATAGAAATTGCCCAAGTGGCTAGGGGTGTAGCTAGTGGTAGAGCACTTGCCTCACATGTGCAAGACCCCGATTTCCATCCCTAGTAACACTACCACAAGAAAAAAAAAAAGCCCAATTTGAAGAAGAAGGGGAAAAATACACATTCTCAGAGACCTATGGTATAATATCAAACAGACTATCATAGTGTATATGTAATCCCAGAAGGAGAGAAAAAGAGAATAAGGAATAAAAAATAGTAGTTCAAATATTTCAAGCTTGACAAAAAAAAAAAAAAAGATAAAAAATTATGGATTCAAGCTTAAAATTCTAAGCAAGATAAATCCAAAGAAAATTTTGCATGGTCATACTGCTAAAAACCAAAGACAAAGAGCAAATCTTGAATGTGCCCATTTGAAAACAATAAATAACATGCAAGAAACAGGGATTTAAATGAGTTCTTTCTTTTTCGATACTGGGGATTTAGTCTACAGGTGCTTTACTACTGAATTACATAAGTTCAATCACATCATAATTAAACTAAACACAGATTGGATAAGTATCCAGTTAAAAGACAGACTATCAGAATAAATAACAAAAGAATGAATAATTCTAGAGATACCTTAAAAATGTTATTAAAGAGCATAAAAGAAAACTTGAATTAAGACTGATTTGAATTGTAAAAAATGTCATTTCTCTTAGAATTAACAGGTTAAATTCAGTGCAATTCCAATAAAAAACCCAAGGACTTTTTTTTTTCTTTTGAGAATGTGATATAATTCAAAATTCAAACGAAGGAACAAATCTGCTTGAATAGCTTAAGACAATTTTGAGGGAGGAGGAATCAAAAACGGCAAGATTTGCTTAAGACATTTATATAAACTCCAAGACCACTATAATTAAAATAATTTGACACTGGCCCAGGAAATTCACAAAATAATAGAACAGAACATAGTTTAAAAGTTAATAGAAAAAAAAAAAAAGGAGACGCATAAATTTTGACTCTGAGGTAAAATATGATTCTTTTTTCTTTTTGCAGTACTAGCTATTGAACCCAGGGGTGCTTTACCACTGACCAGTAAGCTATATCTCCAGTCCTTTTTTAAAATTTTGAGGCAGGATCTTACTAAGTCGCCTAGGCTGGCCTTGAACTTGTGATCCTCGTACTTGAGCCTCCCAAGTCACTGGGATTATAGGTAGGCACCACGGCTCCCAACAAGAAATGATTCTTTAATAAAACTTTAAAAATAGAAGTAATGAAAGTGAAAATGACAAAGATTAACTACATCAAAACTAAAAGTTTCAGGTTTTTTCTACATGTAGAGAAGGGTATCAAGCAAAATTAAAAAGCAAACAACAAAGAACATCTACATAAAGTTTGGTTTGTTACTAGAATAGATTAATGTTTAAAACACAAAAGAGATTACTGCAAAATAGAAGGTAAAATACAGGCCATATTAAAAATAGAAAAAAAAATTTGGTCAAAGGCCAAGGACAGGAAATTCACAAAACAGCACACCTGAAGCAAGGGCACCACATTTTACAACTCTAGGGACAGTGCACTTGAGGCGCACAGTCCCCCAGGGTATGGTTTACACAGTGACTATGTTCATTGGTTATATCGAAATTCTGAGTCTTACTAGTAAACAGGGAAATACAAATTAAAACATCATGATACTATTTTTTAATACCTTTCTGACTGGTAAAATTAGTTACTAATGTGAATAATTTTTAAGAAAGAGGTAGACGGCATAATACCATACACAGAACAATGGGTACATGTGTTGGTTTAAATAAATTAACTGCTGGCAAATTATGTGAAATATAAGGGAGTATCTATGTAAAGAAAAAGAATGGGGCTGAGGTGAAGGCTAATGGAGAAAACAAATGAGGGCCATGATCAGACCCCAAACAATAACATGCCATAAAACTGAGGAGTATGAGTAACTCAATTTTGTGCACTTAAAATAAAAATATAATAAAAATACCTAATAATTTACAACATGTCAATTATAGTAACAAAAGCAGATCAGCAGTTGTATAGAGGAAACAGGAAGAAGGGATTAAAAACAGGCAAGAAACTTTTGGGTGTGATTGCTATGTTCATCATCTTGACTATGGCAATCTAAAAACTTAGGCAATCATACACTTAAAACATATATAATTTACAGGATAGAAATGATACCTCAAAAAACTCTTAAGCCAGGTACAGTGGCATACACATGGCCAGTAATCCCAGTAATCTGGCAGGCCGAGGCAGGAGGATTGCAAGTACATGACAGCTTTAGCAACTTAGTGATATCCTGTCTCAAAATAAAAAATAAAAAAGGCTGGGATATAGCTCAATGGTAAAGTGCCCCAGGGTTCAATTTTTAATATAGAAAACCAAACCAAACCAAAACAAAACAAAAAACCTGTTAAAATCATATTTTAAAAAATCTGACATTAATCTGAATAATATATTCCATATAACGAAAATTATAGCATCTATAAAATGTACTTCTAGATCTAATTAAACATTCCTAATTCAGCATGTAGTTTTCTAAAACATGTATTACCTGTGTTTGTCCCCTTTGAAATAATGCTGATCCATGAAGAGTTTTAAACATATCTACCTCACAACTTATATTCCTAAGTGAAGTCAAATCGCGTCCATCACACCTATAGTCATAAATAAAATAAGTAGTAAAGCTGTGTTGGAAGTCAGAAAAATCACATAACATTTCTTTATCTCTACCAAGAAGTTCAACTCCAGCTGCATATCATAAAACCCTGTGGATCTTTAAAAAACAATACAAATACCTGGGCTCCATCCTAAATCCCACTGAATCAAAACGTCTGGGGTTGTGGCCTATGTAACTGTTTTGTTAGTACTGTTACTGCACATCTGCAGGTAACTGTGATGTTCAGGCAAGGCTGTGAAGCATGGCTGGACACACAAAGCCCAAGAGAGTCACATATCCACATATTCTTTCTTTGATACAATTTACACAATAACTATTATTCTTTACTTTCCACTTAAAAATCAGTTCCTTCCTTTGAGTAAACAGCCACTTTCAAGGTAACTTGCAGAAACAGTACATACTTCACTTCTATCAAGAGGGTATGTTTACCTTTTGTATTCATTCAAAATAATACTTCTGAAAACCTCCTTTGCAACAACATTGAAGGATTCTATTATTTCATATGGATCGACATCTGGAAATGTTTCTGGAGGAAAAAAAAGAAAGAAATCAAAACAAAGGTTTTCTTTTCTGAAAGGCAGATTTCTCCAAAGTTCACAGAATCAAATCAATTACTAAGGGAGTAAGCCAAGGGGGCTGACTGAGTATTTGGTCCTCAGGCAAACAAAAGTAGATAAATCAAATGTTCTCAAGCAAGTGAGACTCACCAAATATTAATCCCTTAAACGTGTTGTGATTGGGAACTTAGTTAGCTTATATCATGTCACCTGATACACTGAGTCAACCATATTGTTAAAAGGTTTAACTGACAATATTAAGAGTAGTCATCCCACTCTTTTTTGCCTTGAGAACTTTTACTTAATCTTCTAATTAAGAAATAATTTTCTTTATATATTACAAATTCCAAACAACAAGTTTTTCAGTTAACATTACCAAGTGCTTTCATATAGACACTTCACAAGTTGCTTTTTAAAAATGCCTTTAATCTTCATAACAATTTATGAGGTAAATTTATTATTATCCCTTTTTACAGAAGAAAAAGCTAAGGCTTGAGGAAGTAAACTGCCTGAGATAACACAGACATAACTATTACAGCTGTGACCTGAATATAGATCTGTCTGCCTCAATGGCTTATGCTTTTAAATATTGTTATTTTACTTCATTAATTTCCTGTCTCTCCTTCCATCTCTTTTTTTAAAAAATATTTTTCTAGTTATAGTTGGGCACAATACCTTTATTTTATTTGTTTATTTTTATGTGGTGCTGAGGATCGAACCCAGCACCTTGCAAGTGCTAGGAGAGCGCTCTACCGCTGAGCCACAACCCTAGCCCTCTCTCTTTTTTTGAGATGTTGCCCAGGCTGGGTTCAAACTCATGATTCTCTTGCCTCAGCCTTTCAAGTAGTTGGGATTATAGGTGTGCACTGCCATTTCTGGCTATACCAAATATTAGGTACTGTTCTCTCAAGTCTTTGATTTACTAAATAAATGTATAACTTTAAAGTAAACTGAACATAAGAAATGGCAATAAAAAAAGAGATAATATATTAAGTATCCTATCTCATCAGGCAAGAATAACTTTTAATATTATACTTCAATATGAATTTTTATGCTTTAACTGGGTTGAACATGGAAAGAATAAGTAACAAAATACTTACAATGTTATACTACCAATTCAGAAAATAATGACATATAATACAAAAAAAAACTCATAAAACCTTTCTTTTTAAATAAGATAACATGAATTATACAGCTTTTCATTCTTAAAAACAAGATGAAATGTAGTGACAAAAGACTAAGTATTTCAGTGATTAATACAGATAATGGCATTAATATCATAGCTAATAGCAGAGTTTTAAAATAAGATAAACACTCTTGTGAGAGAATGTCAGTGAAAAAATTAACAAGAACTCTCACACTTCCTTTGTATTCAGTTTATATGAGATTGATTATGTGCCAGGTACAAATGTAAATGATTTACTCATTTAATCTTCATAGACCAGGTATTACTGGTACTGCAGTTTCACAGATCAAACAGGAATTTTAAAAGCTATATTTTAGGGTTTCAAATGACAGGACGCAATGCTATCCATTTTAGAGGAAAAATATGACACAGAAAAGATACAAACATTTCATGTTCAATATTTACTAGGTGCTTACTCTGTATTAATTGTTGTGTTAGCTATATTTATAGAAATTAGTTTAACCCTGTGATGTTTCATTATCACAAATTTACTTAAGATAAAACCAAGGAGCAATGAGAATAACTGACTTTTTCTGAGAAATTTTTACCAATGACTGAAAAAAAAAACCAAAACTATATTATTTCCTTCAATTTTTTTCCAATTGAAAAAACAGAATTCACCTTTTAGTTGTTCCTCTGTATCTAATCTTATCTTGTTAACAGCTTCATCTCTGGAAATCTAAAAGAAAGTTAAGGTTCAGTTATTATATAAAACATGATAACATTTAACATTTCTATTTTTATATTGTAAGGGTACTCATATTTTTCTAATGACAATATTCTTTAAGAGATTAGATCTTGTCATTGATTTTTAAGAAATACTATTTGTTTTTCATTCAAATGCATTTGTAGACTTCCCTAAAAGTTGTATTAATTAATAATAGAAGAATGGAGAAGCAGACAGGTAAGCTTTTACTCAAGACTTTTGGCTGGAGATTTTTAATAAAAATAGGATAACAATTCATAAACAAAACTACATGAGTTATGACAAAAAATAATACTGGAACAATTGTACAAGACAAACTTCAGGTATACCTACTTTATCATGTTCATAATTTGTAAAAACTGCATAGAGTTTCTCCATGGCAAGTCTTTTTAAAATAGAAAATAAATGTTAGCATAATAATATTTGAAACAAGAGTTAATTTCTATTATTAGTGAAACAAATACTTAGTAAACTACAAATTATTTATAAACATTTCATTAAGAATTAAAAATATGGACATACTATTGTTTATCACTGCTAATCTGTCTACTACTTATGATATGGGAACACAAATATCTTTACCTTTCAAGGCAAATCACTTATACATGTACTATGCTCCCCCTGCTTTGTCTTTAATTTTTTAATTAATTCCACCTGAGACTTATTCATGTGTGCCAGGCACTGTTCTAAATACTAGGCAAATAGTAGTAGTTTATACTTGATTTCTTTTTGAGAAATTCAACAATTTCCTAGATATTCAAATATCTATGCTTATTCTCTTTTTCCTGTCTGGGCACAGAGAGATACAGGAATTTTGTATATCTTGATCAAGAAGTGTCTCTCCCACATTTAAGATTTCTCCTGGAAGAGCATGGGTTTTTCCTGTTTTAGACATTGGACAGGAATTTAGAGGATCAATATCTAAATCAGAAAAGTGTTATTTCTGAAGTAATGTATGGGTAGTGCTTCCATGCAAATTTTTTCCTTAAAGGAAATTAAATCTGGTGACAATCTGATATTTTGTGGTACAGATGTTCTTACTTATGAACATATTTCACAATCTCTTGTGAAGGGGTAAATATCTTCTGAGGTGTCCTCTTGGTAACACCAATTTCTTTCACCAACTGCTGGATGCCCTGAATTATTTGTTGGGTGTGTTTCACTCCCACTTTGATAGCATGGCAAAAGTCTTGCTGTAAAATGTTCTCTGCAGAGGCTTCCAACATGACTAAGAAAAACAAAAACAAAAGATGATAATTGTCACTGAAATGTTTATCAATACAGCATTTCAAGTACCATGATGTGACAAACAATACAGATCAATTTCATTCTGTGGTGATATATACACTTTAAAAAATTTCTTTCCTTAGAGTCAACCTACTTCCAAAATATGTACAATAGATGAATAAAGAAGTCTTGACATTTAATTTTATATTCTCCTAAAATTTAATGAGGAATTTCCTATCCAAACCGAAACAGAAGCTGGGCATGGTGGTACACATCTGTAATCCCAGTGACTCAGGAGGCTGAGGCAGGAGCTTTACAAGTTCAAAGCCAGCCTCCACAAGTTATTAAGGCCCTGAGCAATTTAGTAAGACCCTATCTCAAAGTAAAAATTAAAAAGAGCTGGGAATGTGGCTCAGTGTTGAATCCCCATTACCAGAGGGGATTCAATCCCCATTACCGGGGGGAAAAAAGAAAAAGAAAATAAAAAACTTAGTAACTTTAGTATTAGCTTTATTAACAAAACTCAATCTTTCAAAGTATACAATAGCATTTACTTTTAATGTACATTTTTAAGTTAAATTTAAAAACATATAACATACTAGGTAACCAATAAATGTTTACCGTTTAACAATTATTTGAAGTGACCTCCTACTTAATTCTGACTCCTCACATTGTCTAATTCTTCCACAGGTGGGAAAATGAATGGGCTTCTACCATGTTATGATGTATTTAAATTTGCCATTCAGCCCTGGCTTTGCATTCTGAAAAGCTAAACAGCCTCCTGGCTAATAGTGTTATCAATTCTGGTGGCTTTCAACTTGTATAAAGTCAAAGATCATGAAAATGCATAGACATGTCTCATAGACATATCTCATATATTTAACCACATCATGTTATCATTAAGATTTATTATCCAAATCATTGCTTTTAAGATATTAAAAAAATATTTATGTACTTTCTTTCTTTTTTTGAGGGGGGGGGGGGAGATACCAAGGATTGAAGTCAGGGGCACTCAACCACTGAGCCACATCCCAGCCCTTTTTATATTTTATTTAGAGACAGGGTCTCACTGAGTTGCTTAGGGCCTTGCTAAGCTGCTGAGGCTGGCTTTGAACTAGAGATCCTCCTGCCTGAGCCTCCCAAGCTGCTGGGATTACAGGTGTGCACCATAGCACCTGGCAAAATCTTTATGTACTTTCTATATAGGAATTTCATCAGTTAATTCAAGTAGAATCCCGTGAAAAGATCAAACATTTGTGTTATCAGAGTCATGGAAGAATAGGAAGGAGGTAAGGCCTTTCAAAAAAGCACTGGAAAAAAAAAAATGGCTGAAAACTCCCCAACTCTGGCATTCATAAACCTAGAGATTTAAGAAGCCGAATAATGGGGCTGGGGATGTGGCTCAAGTGGTAGCACACTCGCCTGGCATGCGTGCGGCCCGGGTTCGATCCTCAGCACCACATACAAACAAAGATGTTGTGTCCACCGAAAACTAAAAAATAAATATTAAAATTCTCTCTCTCTTAAAAAAAAAAAAAAAAAAAAGAATGCAAACCCAAGAAAGGTAGACAGTGATATCGCAAACTTCTATACATGAAAACAATTCAACTAGCAGATCATCATCAGAAACCATGGAGGCCAGAAGGAAGTAGTTCACATTTTACAGGTGCTGAAAGAAAAGAATTGGCAACCCAGAATCATATACCCAGTGAAAATATTTAGGAGTTGAGTTTTGGGAAGAGGGGAAATTAAGATTCTCAAAAAAAACGAGAACCAAGAAAATTTGGTGCCAGCAGACCTACCCTAAGAAAATAGTAATAATGTTGTGTCCATCTACACCTAAAAAATAAATATTAAAAAAAAGAAAGAAGAAAAAGAACATGGCAAACAAAAATAAGGATAAATAAAATAGGCTTTCTTGAGTTTTCTAAATCATGTTTGTTGGTTTAAGCAAAAGCAAAACTAGTAACACTGACTGATGTAGTGTTCTGAATGTAGAGGAACATTAAAACAATTGTATTACAAGTCAGGGAGGGCCAGATAGGGAAAGATTTCAATTCTTCACTCCAGGCATGAAAAAGCTTCCTCTGATGTCATGATAGTGAGATGGTCACACCTTTTTCTCATCTGTACTTCTAAAACATCCTCTCATTTTCATAGAATTTAATTGGAGATAGAAAAAATATAATGCATTCAATATATTTTTTCCACTTATTGATTTTTTATTTTATTTTTTTGCATTCAATATATTTAAGTTCTATCTCAATAAATTTATTTAAAAATAAAATTTGCAAAGGAAAATACTCATCAAATAAATTTTGTTTTCACTAATTAAGCCTTAAAGCAATTCCTTTTTGACTTCCCTGTACTATCTTTTTGTTTTTCCATTTTTTTATTGGTGCATTATAGTTGTTTATATTAATGGGATTTATGGTTACATATTTGTACACACACACAAAATAACAATACATTTTGGCCAATATTCCTCCCCAGCACTTCCCTCCTCTTTCCCTTCCTCCCACCCCCTGGTCCCTTTCCTTTAACTGATCTCTCTTTGATTTATAGGAGATCCACTCCCACCTTTGTTTTCTTTTCCTCTCTAGATTCTGCTTGAGCGAAAACATACAACCCTTAACCTTATTTTGCTTAACATGATTGTCTCTGGTTCCAGAGTTTTCCTGCAAATGCCAAAATTTCATTTTTCTTTATGGCTGAATAAAACTCTATTGTGTATATATACCATATTTTCTTTTCCCATTCATCTGTTGATGGATACCTAGGCTGGGTCCATAATTTGGCTACTGTGAATTGTGCTGCTATGAACATTGGGTATGCATGTTTCACTGCCATAAGATGACTTTAATTCTTCATGATAAATACTGAGAAGTGGTATAACTGGGTCATAATATGGTGGGGTGGTTTAATGCCTAGTCTTCTAAGGAGCTTCCACACTGGTTGCCATAGTGATTGTATTAATTTAGAATTCCACCAACAGTGTAAAGTGTTCTTTTTTCTCTAGATCCTGTCTAGCATTTTAACTGTTTATATGCTTGATGACTGTTATTCTGACTGGTAAGAGATGAAATTTCAGCATAGTTTTGATTTGTATTTCCCTAATTGCTAATGCTATTGAACATTTTTTCATGTATTTGTTGGCCATTTTGAGAAGGTTCTGTTTAATTCATTCACCCATTTATTAATTGGGTTATTTGACTTTTTGGTATAGTTTTTTGAGGTGTTTAGATTATATAATCTAGATATTAATCCTCTGTTGAAAGAGTACCTAGCAAATATTTTCTCTCATTCTGTGGGTTCTATCTTCACAATCCTAATTGTTTCCTTTGCTCTACAGAAGCTTTTTAATTTGATGCCATCCCATTTATTAGCTCTTGGCATTATTTCCTGAGCTTTAGGGGTCCAAAGCAATTCCTTTTAAAAAATGCTTTAAAGGACAATTTCTGATAGTTCTGGATCCACAGACCTGTGCTGTTCAACATGGTAACTACTAGTCACATATGGCTATTTGCACTTAATTTAATTAAAATTATACAAAATAAAAAATTTGTTTGCCCACTCTAGCCACCTTGCAACTACTCATTAGCTATCTGCTCAGATAGGAAATATTTCCTTCACTGCAGACTATTCTACTGAACATTGTCACAAATAAAAAAAAATTAAATTAAAAACTTTGTTAAAATGATTATTTTAAGCCATTAACTATTTTTAGTAACTGAAGACGAAGGAATTGTAGGATTAACTAAAGTTATGAATTTGAGACACAGAATCTAAAAACATGGTGTTGCTATACTTTTCCCTGAGTTATATCCTATCACACACAGAATGATAAGTAATATCAAATGTACCAGTTTAAAAACAAGCACCCAAAAGGTACTGTGCAGAAAATTGGTTAAAGATTTGGACTACTACATATTTTAGTACTGATATGGTAGCAATTACTATTATTTGTATCCCAGAAGTTTCATGATGGCGGTATTAATCATAATGCATGAAAAGGGGGTCAAAATACATATCTGGTATACTTTACAAAAGCAAAAAGCTGGCTGAATATCTTTATGGAAATAGTGTGTGAAAGTCAAAAAATGTAGGTTGGTAATTCTTGAAGCTAGTTACAGGTTGGTTCTGAATTATCCTTGGCCTCTCCTAATTATTTAAAACTACCCTCTGAGGTTCACTTAGCCTCTAGAGTCTCATTCTTCCATCTAGGGAGCAAAAGGTGAGAACAGCTAGCTCAAAGGCTGCTTATGGTGTTTCCACAGCACACCATAGATGCCACAAAGATCCTTTGTTCTTCCTCCAAGGTTTACTAAAATTAGAGTGGATCAACTCTAATATAGATTGGGATTATAATAACAATTAGAAACAGGTTTTTTTTTAATCTTAATGACAATAGCAGGTATTAACTTTATTATGCTTATTAGAAACACTACTTGTCATTTTGCAAACCTTGACTTCTGTCTTCAACTATCCTGTAAAGTAACTGGATCAATTTACTAACTGAAAGTAAATGAAAAACACAACTTTAAAGAAAAAAATTCAGATGCAGATCAAGCGAACTTTAAACAGTTAACAAGTACTTTCATGGAGGCTCTTTTCAAGATGCTCATTTATAATGTAGGGATCATCTGTTACTCATGGCTTTCCTAAATTTTGGAATACTCTCTTTACATTAGTGTAGTTCCTGGTGGTATAAATCCCACTCTCTGAAGTTAAAATTCAAAAAACATGTCCTTGCCTTTTCTGCAATCAATGATGTGCCACAGTTATGCCCAATGAGATGTAAAAGAAACTGCTGGGTGGGGATGTCTGGGAAAACACCTTACAAGGCAGGGTGACTCAGTCAGCGGTCACATGGCTTTCTGCTATTCCACTCTTTGATCTTCCTCCTGCCTATAGACAGATTAAGTTGGCAAGAGCTCTGGCAGTAAGATTGTTAAGTATGAAGATGAGGCCACACCTTGAAGGTAGCAGAGCAGAAAGTCAGAAGGAGACTGGATTTCTTAAGACAACATGGAGCCACCATCACTGTCTTGGACTCACCAACTCTAAATTTCTTTTACCTGAGAGAAAAATAAATTTCCATCTTGTTTAAGCCTTGTTATTTGGTTTAACAACACAAGCTAATAATGTGGATAGCATACAATTCCTATGTGTTTTGTCTATCATACAGTGCCTACTTCTACTTCATTACTGACCAACATAACAGTAGCTAGAAATGAGGTGTTCCACGCATTTATACAAAAAAGTACTAAAAATTTAGTAGTTTATGTTTCATCAAAATGTTGCCACATCAGAGGCTGGGCGCAGTGGTACATGGCTGTAATCCCAGAAGTTTGGAAGGCTGAGAAAGGAGGATCTTGAGTTCAAAGCCAGTTTCAGCAACTGCGAGGTGCTAAGCAACTCAGTGAGACCCTGTCTCTAAATAAAATACAAAATAGGGCTAGGGATATGGCTCAGTGGCTGAGTGCCCCTGAGTTCAATCCGGAGTACCCCCCCAAAAAAAGTAGCCACATCAGAAGATGCAATGTCAAAAAGTCCAGAGACATCAAAAGTTCTATAGCAGAATAAATGGATAAGGTTTCTAATTTGTTCAAAGTCAAATGATTATAGTGGTAAAGGAAGATTTCAACCCCAAGTCATTCTAACTGCTAAAGTCTATTCTCCTTCCATAGACTAGAACAAGGCCAAAATTTTCATTCATGCAATTAATGACATTTTTATTACAGGAAATAAGTGAAAGTGACTCATTGTTAGTGTATTTCTTCTACTTTATTACTGGTTTTCCATTTATTAGATGTCCTTAGAGGACATCAAGGAAGCTTTACGATGGCTGAATTGTTTAAATGAAAATATTTAAACCAATAAACAATAATTTGTTACCAGATTTAAAACTTCTATTTTTAGGTTAAGCTATCAGTTTAAAAATAATTTAGTCTAAAAATAATTACTGAAATTATCTGGCTAAAGATTTTTGTATATTTTAACTGCATAACATTCTGTAATTTTAAGTATTATGTGATAAGACGTAAAGGCTCTGCTAAAATATGACAGACATAAAACAAAAATCTTCACTGTTACTGAAAATACACATACAAGAGTGCCGCAGTCCGGCTGAGCAGAATAAATGGGAGGTGACAAGCAACTTGAAGGTTGAAGCGGGAACTGCTTTATTGTAGGGAAAACTCAGCAGGAACTGAGCGGGAACTCAAGGTAGCGGGCACCCAAGGTAGCAGGAGCCGCCTTATTGCAAAACAGCAGAGGTATATATACCTAACTGGTTACACACAGCTTGACTCAATTAGCATCATCCAGTTATAGCAATCGGCCAATAAGGAATCCCTACCATCTTCATGGCTTGGTGGCGTTGCCTTACAAACCACTCCTCCTGGCAAACTGCCAGGCGCCATCTTGACTTGATTTGCGGTCCCCAACACAAGAGAGTTTAAAAACATTTCTTAAGAATCAAGAACTTATGAGTAAAATCTAGAACAAATGTGGTACTTAAACTACTTACCAATCTGACTTTTAGGTGCTCCAGCAACCACTAAATTTAAAGTACTTGAAGACATTTCTTTTCTTGTTGGATTAACAATACATTCCCCATCAATCATTCCTATTCGTACTGCCCCTAAAATATATTAAAATATTGGTAATTGTTTCAAGGCATTATTCCAGTGATGGCTTCAATCCTTTTTGTGACCACAGAACAAAATTCCTCTTTTTCTCATGGTACTAAAAGCCCACAGAACATCCTACCCTACCCCACCTTCTAGATCCAGTGAGTTGTTCAAGTATATCATTTATTCTACACATTTTCAGTTATGCTGAATGCTCTTCTGGTCTACAATGTACTCTCTCCAAAAAAGATGTTTACATCTGATCCTACTGAGGTTCAACCTCCATACTGGCTACTTTAAGAAGCCCTCCTTGATAAATCAAAACCACAAAACTAAACCTGACCTTCCCTATCATTTTCTAAGCACCTCAGCTATGTCTTTAACACAATAATGCAAATAATTATCTGTCTCTCTCACTTAAGCTAACAGCAAAAACAGTTTCTTTTGTCTTTGTGTTGCTAGTCTGTCTTTGTTTCTTCAGTGCTTAGCTCACTAGCTTGTATTTAGGATACTTGATAATCATTTATTTGATGAATAATTTTTATATTTATGATTACAACTTATAAGAGCTATCCGTAACAAACATTTGTTTGTTTTCTCCTGAAAGACTGTGTGCTCTGATAATTTTCAAGTGCAAATCAAGAAAAAGTTCTTTTATAAAAAGAGGCCACTAAAAAGTGAATATATCTAGGAACATTAAATCTAAATGGAGCATCTTCACACATTGCTATTAAAAGCAGGCAAGGATCAGAATGTCTCAAAGACCTGCAAGGACTCTTGGATTATCAACCCCATAAGAAGTAATAAATCTATAGCCTTGCTAAAACATGCTTACCACTATTAGAACAACATAAATACAGATTTTTATTTTCATAGCCTAACTTACCAACAGGTCCATTCCAAGGAATATCTGATAATGAGAGGGCTAAAGAAGCTTTAAAAAAAAAAGGAAAAAATAAGAGCTGAAATTAAAATATTTCATTATTTTTCAAAAATCAACAATGATCCTTTTAATCTCTATTTTTATACTTACCACCATTAATTGCTAGGACATCAGGTTCATTAATACCATCTACTGCTAACAGATTACAAAGGACCTGGTAGAAGGGGAAAAAATTTGAAGTACTTAACAACAAATGTATTCGATTTGAGAGGACTATCTTGGCCTAAAATATAGGAATACTACATGTTAAAAACATGGTTAATTTTGGTTATATTTAACTAAATCCTTGACATTGGGTAAATTAGTTAAATTAAACTCTGAAAGTTCTCTCAACTTTAAGAAAGAAAAATAATGGCATCTTCCCAAAGGGTTTCTATGAGAACTGAAGAAATACTGTATATATAATATTTACAATACCAGTTGCATTGCAAGTATTCAGCAAATCTTAGCTACATATTTCTATTATCTGTTTATAAGTAAAGATGAAACAAATCAATGAACTGCTTAATACTGCAGTGATATGCCTATGTCAAATTCTTTTCTGTCTATGTCATATTCTTAAGGAAGTAATTTCCCTTGTAGTTCCTAGCACTGAAAAAAAGGAATCTCCCTGAAGCTGTGACATCCTTGCAAAGGTACAATTACACATTTAGTTCATGTAAGTAAAATGATTACTTAATTAAGTACTCTTAATTAAAGTATATGTATCATTATGAGCTAATAATCAGAAAATATTAAAATGTAATGAGGTAGAGTTTCAGAGGATCCAATAATAAAGATAATTTCTTTATGCTCAGGGCTTTTTTTTTTTTTTTTTTTAGAGAGAGAGAGAGAGAGAGAGAATTTTAATATTTATTTTTTTTAGTTTTCGGCGGACAAAACATCTTTGTTTTTTTTTTTTTTAGAATGTGGTGCTGAGGATCGAACCTGGCCGCATGCATGCCAGGCAAGCACAATAAGTTACTACTTGAGCCACATCCCCAGCCCATGCCTCAGGGCTTTTGAGCTTCCCATTTCCACTGCCTTGAGTGCTTTCCAACATTCCTGGTTAGCTGACTCCTCAGAATTTAGGTGTCAGCTCCAATTGATACCAAGTAAATGTTAGCTTTTCAAAAGTATTATCTTTTTTTTTTAAAAACATGACTTAAAAGTAAAATGCAAGAGCAATACCAAAATTTTTTATAATATTTAGCCAAAGAAGAATTACAGAGATTAAATAAGTTTTGACTGACCTGGAAACAAATAACATAAAACAGAACTTACTTGTGTATCATAAAAGTAGCCAGCGGGAAAGAGAGGTCTAATTGAACGATCTCCAAAAAGAAAGAAAAAAGACATTAAATAGTATTGACAGAGTTGCTTTAGAGTCCAAAACTTTTGAAATAATATTGCCAGTTGTTCGATATGTCAAAACAAAACCAAACCCATTGGATTGATTTGCTAACAGGAAAGTTGATAAATATCAATCCTTCAATTAATAATAGACCATGACCTAACACTAAGCAGAGGAAAGACAATTAGGACTAAGAGCAGACCAAAAGAAAATGGCACCTTGGTAGTTTGTGTCTGTTCATCAACTACCAATTTCTGGGTATGGGAACTATAAACTATATTTATATTTATGACTGTCAAAGACTTAGAAGATTATTCACATGTCAGTAGTTGATACATATCATGTTTAGGAATAACTATTCTCAACATAAAAAAATGAAAAATACTAGGGACAGATCAACATAGTAGAGGCATGAGCTATGGAATTCATATGCTCAATAGATATAACAAATATTTATTGAATGCCTATCCTTTTTTGTTTTTTGGTATCAGGGATTGAAACCATGGGCACTTAAACACTCAGCCACATCCCTAGCCCTGCCTTTTTTGAATCAGGTTCTCCATAAAATTGCTTAGAGTCTTGCTAAGTTGCTGAGGCTGGCTTTGAACCTGTGATACTCCTGCTGCCTCAGCTTCCTGAATGGCTGGGATTACAGATGTGTGCCACTGCACCTAGTTGAATACCTGTTCTGTGCTAAGCAGTGTACAAGTTAAAGAAGATTTGGTAGGTAAAGAGACATTTTTTTTTCTCTCATGAAGACTACATTCAAGTGAGAGAATAGAGACAGTAGATAATCTTTAGTGGCACTCATGCAATGAAGGAAAATTAAAGAAACATTGGCATATCTGAGAGCATTAATGCCTCTATCTTGATATCTTACCTATTATTCGACTTGTAAGAATTTCTTTATCAGAAGAACCAATCTCTCTTCTAAGATAGTTTGTGGGAATTCTACCTGCTGCAGCAGCCTTCTGTCTGTAGTCAACCTGCAACAGCAATGAAAAAATAAGGTTTGTATGATTCCTTTTTTTTAATAAAAACCATGTCACAAAATCTATTATATAAATACTAATTTTCTTGAGTTTGCTAACAACATACTCTATAGACTAGGAGTAAAGGTTGTTTAATATATCAGCCAGAGTTGGGTGGGGTGGTGCATTCCTATAATCCCAGTGACTCAGGAGGCAGAGGCAGGAGGATCACAGGTTTGAGGCTAGCCTCAGCAACTTAGTGAGGCCCTAAGCAACCTAGTGAGACCCTGTCTCAAAAATAAATAAATAAAAGTTAAAAAGGGCTGGGAATACAGTTCAGCGTAAAGTATTCCTGGGTTTAATTCCCAGTACCTCTCCCCAAAAGAAAGAAATATTTCAGCCAATTATTTTAAAAAGTCTTCTACTTAGCAGTCAGATGACTACCTAGCTTCACTACTTTCCACAGTGGCTTATTCTGTCAAACACTGACTTTTTGTATCAACTGTTAGGTATAACTGCATTCCCTTTCATATTAGAAAGAAGCCTTAACATCCTAAGGCTCTCTTCACTTACCATACACTTGTAGACTCATACTGAAGGGAAACCCATGAAGGCAATGAATTCATTGCTTATTTGTCATCAGAGCACTCATGCACTTTATTCACTTATCTCATCAACTCATATAACTGGATAGTCTAAAGAATGTTTACTACTAGCATGAAAAGTGGTTATAAAATAATCCATTCAAACTCTCTTAACGATTCAGTATCAAACAACTAAGGACGACCTTTTCCTGAACAAAGTTTATATTTTGTACTCATAAGAAAATGGAAAAATATTACAAATTCTACATTTATGCTATAACTACAGTTCAGATAAATTAGCAAATTACTTACCACCAAAGGCATGAACTGGGAAGGTGAAGGTTTTGTTTTACTGACAGCTGTGACCATCACTGCAGTGTCACCTGACTTAAAACATAAACACTGGTAAATACCTTCGAAATCAGACACTAACATCTAAGTAGCAACTGAATACTCACTCCAAAAATTTTTTAAGCAAAGAGATGTCTTATTCCAAGTGATGATTATTCACAAATAGTCCACTCTTGGTTCTCCCCACCCGCTGCATTTTTTTTGTACTGGGGACTGAACCCAGGGGGCTTCCCTTTTTTATATTTTATCTAGAGACAGGGCTTCACTAAGTTGCTGAGGCTGGCTTTGAACTTGTGATCCTCCTGTCTCAGCTTCCTGAGTTGCTGGGATTACAGGCGTGTACACCCAGCTTGGCACCATCCCTTCTATATGAGCATGATCAGCATTAGAACTGTCACTAAATTTTTGAAAAGGACAAAGGGGGATCACTGATAGCTTAGTCACACCAAATAAATTGAATCATATTTTCTATTTCTAATGAGGAAATTTAGGTTGTATATAATAAAAATTTCCAATTTCACTGTTCTATTGAGAATAATGAAATTACTTTCTCTAGAAATGTCTAACAGATTCTATTAACAAAAATATAATAAAATCCCATGTTTGGAAAGGATCGTCAAGGTCATTTAATACATTCAGGTCTGACTCTGGTTTTGACACTGGGAAAGATCTTAGTGTCTGAATTAATTCCCAATATCACATTTCTAAGTTATATGATGTCATAAAGATTCAGTACCAATATCCATAAATATTTTTAGGATGAAGTTCTAAAAACCTGGATTTTTACCTGTACTACAGCAGAGCCATCTGCAAATCTGGCCAGTTTCCCAGAGGATATTTCTATTTTTCTGTTTAAAAATAAAAATTCAACACAATGACTTAGTAGCATATAAAATAATCCAAGATTGTAACAGAAGAACTAAAGGCTATCAAGCCTCACAAATCCTCTTCCCTCAGCAAAAAAATAAAAAGAATGAGATTCATGTACAAGGGGAGCTGCTTATAGAAGATAAAAAGAAGGTACAGGACAAACCTGAATGTGAGATAAAGTATTTTAGGGGCACAGAAACCAAGTGCCTTTCTAAATATTAATTCCCATTTACCATCTCAGTTCAATCTCTTTGCATCCCTTGCCTTGTTGACTACAGTAACCTTTTAGTACACAAACTACATCATTTCCCTATTAAAAATCTTATAAGGGGCTGGGGCTGTAGCTTAGTGGTGGAGCGCTTCCTTGCTGGTATGAGATGCTGGGTTCATTCCTCAACACCACATACAAATAATAAATAAAGATACTGTGTCCATTTACCACTAAAAAAATAAAAAATTAAAAAAAAATCTTATAAAATTTCCCTCAGTGCTTTCAGGGCAAAATATAAACTACTAAATATTGCCTATAAAAGACTTTCATGTTTGAGAAAAGTGTCAAGATAATTTAATGGTGGAAGAATAGTCTTTTCAAGCAATGGTGCTAGCATGACTGGATATTCATATGCATACACATGCAAAATGAATTTGGACTCCTTCATCACACAAAGATAAAAACTAACTCAAAATGGATCCTAGAACTAAAAGAACTAAAACTACAAAATTCTGAAAAAAAAAAAAAAAAAACAGCAGTAAATCTTTATAAATTTGAGCTAGACAATTTTTTTAAAAAGATATGATATCAAAAAGCATAACTGACAAAACAAAAAATAAAGTGGACTTCATCAAAATTAAAAACTTGGCATGAGTCAATGGATATTATTGAGAATGTAACAGAAAGTCCACAGAGGAGGAGAATACATTTGCAATTCACATATCTGATAAGAGGCTTACATCTAGAATGTTAAAAATTCTTTCAAATGAATAAAAAGACAACTCAGTTTTGCTAGGGGTGGTTGCACATGCCTGTGATCCCAGAGACTCCAGAGGCTGAGACAGGAAGATGGCAAATTCAAGTCCAGCCTCAGCAACTTAGCAAGGCCCTAAGCAATTTAGCAAGACCCAGTCTCAAAATTAAAAAACATAAAAAATTAAAAGGGCTGGAGATGTGGCTCAGTGGTAAAGAGCTTCTGGGTTCAATTCCTAGTACCCAAAACATAAATAATATAAAATAGCCCTCCCACATCACCACTCTCTATAAACAATACGTGTGTGTGTGTGTATGTATATATATATATATATATATATATATATATATATATATATATATATATATATAAAAGATAATTCAATTTAAAAAATTGGCAACGGATTTGAAGGGACATCTGTCCAGAGATATACAAATGGCCAATTAATACATGAGAAAAAGCTTAATATCATTATCCACCAGGGAAATGCAAAGCAAAATCACAATGAGATACCACTTTACACCTAGTAGGATGGTGTACTCAAAAAAACTGGTAATATATGTTGGTATGACTGTGGAGAAACTGAAATTCTCATACTGCTGGTGGGAATACAAAATGGTGTTCTAGCTTCATGAGATAAACTGGCAGTTCCTTAAAGTATTAAATAAAGAGTTCCTAGTGGCCCAGCAATTCTACTCCTTTGGATATACTTGAGAGAAATGAAAATACATCCGTACAAAAATCTGTACATGAATGTTCATAGCATTCTTCTTATTATTATCATCATCCTTTTGGTACTGGGGATTGAATCCAGGGGCGATTTACTACCAAGTTACATCCCCAGCCCTTTAATTTTTTTTTTTTTTTTTTTTAAATTTTGAGACGGATTGTCACTAAGTTGCTGAGGCTGGTCTCTAGCTTGGGATCCTCCTGCCTCAACCTCCCAAATTGTTGGGATTACAGGTGTGCACCATTTCCCCTGGCTGTACAATCTATATTAGGCAAAGAAAACAGGTGGTTGCTTATCATTTTATCTCACAATCTCAGCTGGGATTAAACTGACTTATAGTTTTTTTCTGGTCTATGTACTTTTAGTTGTTTTTGGTAAAATTCTGTTATTACTTTTGCTCCATGGTTCATTTTACCTGTGATGGTTTAGATATGAGGTGTTCCCCAAAAGCTCATGTGAGACAATACAAAAAGGTTTAGAGATGAAATGATTGGGTTATAAGAAGGTTAATATAAATAGTGCATTAATCCCCTGATTGTTGGTAATTATAGGTAATTCATGGTGTGGCTGGGGGAGATAGGTCTCTGGGGGCATATCTTTGGGGTATATATTTTGTCCTTGTTGAACAGAGCTCTCTACTTCCTAAAGCGATGCCTGAGCCACTACTTTTGCCACACTCTTTTGCCATGATGTTCTACCTCATGTGTGAGGCGTTGGGTTAAATTCCTCGAGCCCCAAGGAATGGAGCCACATTCTAGGGACTGAAACCTCTGAAAACAGTGAGCGCCAAAATAAACTTTTCCTCCTCTAAAATTATTCCTGTCAGATCTTTCAGTCACAGCAGCAAAAAAAAAGCTAACTACAGCAAACTCTCAGCCAACTGACTCTTCAATATTACATGAATAAAATATTTCCAAATATATAGAAGACTGATAATATAGGGACGGCCTCTGGGGGTTGGAACTGCCTGGCTATGGAAATGTATGGAAGACTGTCATGCTATTTAAATGTTGAACCACGTAAGCGAATACCTAAACAAAACACACTTCTGAAAAAATAAATAATAATAAAAAGGATGATAAGATGAGCAGGGAGATCTTATTGGTGGGGAGAAGAGTAGGAGGAGGCAGCTAAATAAGGAATTGGAGAGAAGAGAGGAGCCACACAGGAAGTAGAACTACAGGGAAAAAGAGGTACTTAAAGAACATTTTTAGAAATATTGCAGGATGATATAGAATGTAACCACCTTCCTAAAAATTCCACCAAGAAATATTCAGTAAAAATACTTGCCTCCACTGAAAAATGAGGGGTGGAGGTACTTTAAGATTTGGCTTTGGACTCTGTAAAAATTTTTAGATTCAGATTTTTACTGTTTGCTACATCCATAGTGAATTATCTATAGTTACTAAAATGCCATTTCACCTTTCTATGATAGTACCTTCCAATTTTTCTGTTGCTATTCTCCTTACTATTTGAATTACTGATAATTCCTCCTTATCCTTCAAAATTCACAACAATTGCAAGCTTTGGGGTAGGAAAAGTAATGCTTTGTACTCCCTTAGTGCCCTATTCTTATCTTTCCCCACAATGATTTTCCAGTGAATGTGTGTTTATTTCATTTCTTCATCAGACCTTATATCTCCAGTTCTTGGTACATAGCAGTTGTGCAATAAAAGCTTGTGAAATGAAAATTAAACACTTGCCTCAAAGGCACTATGAGCATTAAACATACTATCTGGAAACACCTACCACAATAGTATATAGTCTCCCATGGTGTTAAAAAATATATTAAATATAATGTATCTGGAATATAATGGCTACTCAATAAATGTTGCAAGTGACAAACTTAAGACAAAGATGAACTGATTTATCTAGCAGGTATCAAACTCATTGAGTTGTATTTTTCAACACATGGCACACATTTACAAAAAACTAGCTTCAAGGGGGCTGGGGATGTGGCTCAGCAGTAGAGTGCTCGCCTAGCATGTGTGAAGCGTTGGGTTCAATCCTCAGCACCACATTAAAAATAAATAAATAAATAAAGATATTTTAAAAAAATAACTTCAAAAGAGATCCAGATTGATTAATAAATGAATTAAAGTAGATTACTTATGGGAATTATGGATGTCACTGCTTTTAGTAGATCACAGTAAGTGTCTGTTGAATGAAATGTTGTAGGGTTTATCTTTGGGCAAGAATGTGCAGTCCTTAAAGAATGGAAGAGATATCCTTTCCCTAGTTCCTCTTCCCCCCAAAATCAGAATTAACCAAGGGTAGAAAGAGTCTTAGAGATAATCTAGTTTAGAGGTAAGGAAACTACTGCCTATGGCCTGATTCTGTAGAGTTCTTCAACTGAAAAATTTTGTATAATGTTTAGAAGTTTTGTAAAGACACATACACACAAAGAGGAATTGAGAGGGTGACAATATGCCCACAAAGCCTAAAATATTTGCTGAAAAGTCTGCATACTCTTGATCAAATCCTGTCTGATCATTTGTCCCATGTTGTGAAGTAATTAGTTTGTTGTTTATTCATTAAATTAGGGAAGTGGCTCTGGATTCTAAGCCAGTTTTTTTGTTGTTGTTGTTTGGTATGAATTAGGGTCAAAATAATTTTTAAAATGCAATAAAAATTTTTAGATAATAAAAGTATGCATTAGCAATTTCGTTTGTTCGAAAAACGATCACATCAAAAGTGATTTTTCATGTTCTTGTGGTGTGAACTGATAAATACATCAATAAGAGTGTAAATTATAGGTTATAGATTAGTAAAAATATAGATTATAGATAAGATTTTGATAAGTGAGATAAGACAATTTTAAAGCAAGAACTGTCATAGACAAGCCTAAGACTCCATTTTGCTGTCTTCTATAAAACACTGTTAAAAGAGCTGTTTCTGAGAAACTGAAATAAAATCTGTTTTCTTATTTAAAAAACTGTCTTTCTGTACTTTGTACCCCACAAATTGTACCCTACTTAGGATGCAGCAGTGGTTGTGGTGAACTACATCCTGGGTGTGAATGCCCTTGTAGATTCTCGTCCACCGACTCCTGCCCAATTTCAAGATGCCACTATCTAGCACCTGCTTGAACCCAGGACTGTGGTCAGCTGAACTGCAAAGCTAATGCTATTTTAGCTTCTTGCTTGCTGACTGGAAAATTACAGTCCAGCCTAGAGCCCAAAGGTCCCACTTACCAATGTTTTAATTTCTATGATTAGCTAGCTTACATGACAAAAAGCAAGTCACTGAGTTGTGGTTTTTGTGCTCACATTCTCTTTGGATGGACCAGGAAGATGCTGTCCTCCCACAGAGCTTGAGTCTCTGTGGTGGGTGAAAGTCTCTGGCCAGGTAAATAAAGATCTCTTTTGATTTGAAATTAGGACTTAGAATGCTTTCTGAGGCGTCTCCCCATAACAATGTGAATTCCAGCAAATGGACCCCTGGGAAAACTATGGACTTAATAAGAAACACTATTTCACAATCCATCTAGCTTGGTTTACTCTGAGAAAGTTACCTAGCTTTTTTTGTTATCTTAACTATAGAATGAGGGTGATAGCATCTTTACTATAGGTTTAAAGATATTGCGTGCATCATATAATTGGCGTTCAATAACCTGACTTTCCATTTCCTTCCAGGGTCATGCTGGCCACACTTTTAGGCAATCAGTTGGGCTGGATGACGAGTGCACACATAGTCAACTCGTTATCTCAAGGTGGAATGCCCCCCACTTCAGCGCCCAAGGGTCTTTGAAAATTAACAGAATAGATGTCAGCTGGAAAGACAGGCTCTGGAGAAAAGAATCCCGAACAGAGGAAGGAAAGATTCAATAAGCAAAGTCACAAGGCAGAGCAGGAAGGAGGAAAGTCCGAGAAGACAGGCTCCACATTCAGAAAAGGAAATATGGAATTTAGGTTTGGGGTAAAGAGAGGTTAAAGAGACGTCGGACGGATTTGTAACCAGGAAGATTAATGTATCTGGGCTGGCCGGAAAGGATACCTTGGGACAAGAAGGGAGCGCACGCCGTCCCTTACCTGTTGCCTAGGTCCACAGCCACAGCTCGGGACCCCACGCTACCCGATAGTGCTCGCATCTGCAAATACGTGAGCGCCGGATTCCGCCTGGGCATGCGGAGGGGACTATCGCCCAGCGGCCGGAGCCGGAGGCAAGAGCAGCAGCGACTGCAGGCCGCCATGACACCCAGCACGCGATCAGCCCGGGCTGTGCCTTGATTGGCTCTCTCCCAGTCCGCGGGGAGGAGCCTGGTGCAGTTTCGTTTCCGCGGTGCTGGAGGAACCTCTGGGAAGCGGATACCTTGTCCGCTTTCTACGAAGACTAGAGAGGGTCAAACCTCTGAGAGTGCGATTGCGCTCTTTCCATTTACCCACCAATTAAAGGCAAATACGTAAAAAATGCGCGCGTGCGCGTGTAGCTATCGTAGTTTGAAAGAAAGTCCTTAAATAATATAAGCCTTTAATAAGTAAATATAGTAATAGTGGAAGTCACTGGATAACACACTGTTATTTGGCTCTGTGAATTAATAACTGCGTGGCCCGCCATGGAAAGAGATCCTTACATCTCTTCCGCCCCGGTTTCTATTTTATAGATTCCACATAGCAAATATGTTACTGTAAAGGTTTGTTGTTAATTGATTTCCAGTAAATTAATTTTATTTCTCGTTGACTCCCATATCATATTTTTAAGTATCTATAGTGTCATTCCTGATTCATCTTCATTTTCGTTGCTAATATTCAGCATTGCATTTTTTTGCCCCTTTTGGTTAAATGTTAATGTTTTCTAAGCCAACTCTTTTATTTTTCTTTATTATTATAGCATTATAGTTACACATGGTAGTTGGGTTCATTTTGACAAAATCATACATGCATGGACTTGAGTTTACTCCTTTCAGTATCCCCTTTACCCTTCCTTCCCTCTTCTCTCCCCCAATTCGCCTACCTCTGATCTGTTGATCTTCCTTTTGCTGATTAATTAACTTATTTTTTATAGGTGCTTTCTCTATATACATAAAAGTATATTTATTTATTTTTACCTTCTCAAAGGTACCTTCTTCTTCCTTTTTATTTATTTATTTATTTATTTATTTATTTTTGTGGTACTAGGGTCCAACCCATGGCTCCATGCTTGCTATACCACTGAGCTACATCCCCAGCCCGCTGCAGTATATTATTTATGTACATAAATGTGATTTTGCTAAATTCATTCAGCATTTCCTCCCCTTTCCCATCCTTCCTCTCTCCATCTTGATCTTCTTCTACTCCACTGATTTTCCATGTATCTTTATGATATTTGATACACACACACATACACACACACACACCCACACACACCTTTTTTTCCTCTTATTTTGTTATAGCTTCCACATATGAAAGAAAACATTTGACCGTTGATTTTCTGAATCTGGCTTATTTCACTTAGCATGATGTTTGTTCTCCAGTCCCTTGCACTTACTGGCAAATGCCAGAATCTCATTCTTCTTCTATCCCTGTAGTATGCTGATTTTAGTTCTTTTGGATAAATACCAAGGGGATAGGATAGCTGGGTCATATGGTGGTTACATATGTATCTGGGCTGTCTGGAAATGATACCTTGTGACAAGAAGGGAGCCGCATGCCGGTTCCTTACCCGTTGCCTAGGTCCACAGCCACAGCTGGGGCTGTGGCCTAGTGTCTTGTTTTTTTAATCTACCATCTGTTTTCCAGAGTGATTGTACTAATTTGTAGCCCCAACAATGTAGAGTGTACCTTCCCTTCCCCCACATCCTCACCTGCATTTATTATTATTTGTATTCTTGATAATTGACATTCTAACTGGAATGAGATGAAATTTTGGTGTAATTTTGATTTGCCTTTCTCTGATTGCTTGCAATGTTGAACATTTCTTCATATATTTGTTGGCCATTTGTGTTTCTTTTTTAAAATGTCTGTTTAGTTCTTTTGCCCATTTATTTATTGGGTTATTTGTTTTGTTTTATGGTGTTAAGCTTTTTGAAGTTTTTAAAATATATTCTGGATATTAATCCCTCCAATTCTGAAGCAGTTTCTCTCTTCGTGTTCTTGTTTCCTTTGCTGTGCAGAAGTTTTTTGTTTTGTTTTGTTTTGTTGGTGCCAGGGATTGAACCCAAAGGGCACTCTGCCACTGAGCTACATCCTCAGCCCTATTATGTATTTTATTTAGAGACAGGGTCTCACTGAGTTGCTCAGCACCTCACTATTGTTGGGCTGACTTTGAACTCGGGATCCTCCTGTCTCAGCCTCCATAGCCACTGGGATTATAGGCATGCACCATCGTTTCCGGTAGAAGCTTTTTGATGACATCCCACTTATTGATCCTTCATTTTATTTCTTGAGCTTTAGGAGTGTTGTTAAGGAAGTTGGTGCCTGCATCAATATGATGAAGTGTTGACCCTGTGTTTTCTTCTTGCATAGTTTCTGTTCTAATTCCTACTTTGATTTGACTTTTGTGCAGGGTGAGAGATATGTATATCCAGTTTCCCCAGCCCCATTTGTTAAAAAAGGCTCTCTTTTCAGGAGCTCTTTTTACTGATTTTGGATTTCCATGCTTGAGAAGGAATTATCATTAGCTTTATTTATGGGTATTTAGTGTTAAAATTACTTTTGCCTCTTTTATCTTTGACTTTACCTTATGTTGCCACAGTGATTTCAAGACCAATGCATTGAAACCTCTCCTGAAGACAAATCTATCAGGATATACTTGCAATAATTCAACATGACTTAGGATTTATAAAGTAAAGATACTAAGTCACCTTTCAATAATGTGCCTAAGTACTATGTTTTCATTCATGCAATGTTGCCTAATAGTTTAGAACAGGTACTTAGTCCCAGGTTATTCTAAACTTGTCTTTCTCACCAGTTGTGTGTGTCTCTCTTTGAGCCTGTTTCCTTGTCTGTAAAAATAGATAATGATATGAGCCTTGCAGAGTTTTAGTTTTTGTAAGGATTGTCACAGAGGATAGAAGATATTTATTACACAACCTGGCATACAGTCAGCTTCAGCTTTGAGTCAACTTTTTTCCCCCCCAGCCCTGGAATTTGAACCCAGTGGCCCTCTACCACTGAGCTGCATTCTTAGATCTTTTTATATTTTTCATTTTGAGATAGGGTCTCAATGCATTTTCAGACTAGCTTCAAATTTGTGAGTATCCTGCTCAGCCTCCTTCTTAATAGCTGGAATTGCAGGCATGTGCCACTATGTCCAGCTCAATCAGTCTTTTCTTAATTTTCCTTCTAATTTTCTTTCCTTTTTGGGGGGTGGGGGTGGCATGTACCAGGGATTGAACTCAGGCGAACTAGGCCACTGAGCCACATCCCCAGCCCTATTTTGTATTTTATTTAGAGACAGGGTCTCACTGAGCTGCTTAGTAGCCTTGTTTTCTGCTGAGGCTGGCTTTGAACTCTCGATCCTGCTGTCTCAATCTCCCAAACCACTGGGATTACAGATGGGTGTCACCGCGCCTGGCTCCTTTTTTTTTTTTTAATTTACTTAACTACTTTCTTGCCTTCAGAACCCCTTGATTCAGTTAACTTCCATCCAGTCAGAATTGCTGGAAAGGAGCATTTATTTAAAGAGCTCACCTTTGTTTCATCACACAGATTCAAAATAATTAGAATAGTTGTAATTGAATTATAAACTCAGAAGCAACACAGCACTGAAATCCTGCAGCAGAATTTTGTTATGAAGCCTTCATACAGATGATACACAAAATATTTAAGTATTTTTAGATTAGCCTAGAAACAAAAGTATATAATGTTCAAATTTTTGTGGTTGTAATTACTGAAACTATGACTCATGAAAAGACAATCCATTGAAAAGATGTAAAATTCTAGAAGTATAATTCTGTCACATATAATTCCACAGCCACAATATAATTTAAAATGAATTTTTTAATTTGTGACTCTTGAAAGACATTAAAAATTATACAGTTTAAGTCAACAAGCAGAATTTCTCAGATTTTCTTCTCTCTTTTTTCATACTCAAATGAACTTGCATCAAAATAATACCATTGCATCCTTTGAGTACCAATTTCATTTAAGTAAAACATCATTGCATTAAATTGTTTAATTAAAATGTAATTTGGTTTATAATTGGTTTAGACAGTATATACATTTATTTTACTTTTGTGACTATCTAAAAAGCTGCAAGAATAATGAGTCTATATCTTGTTAAATATTTGTAGATATTTAAGTAACTTTTTATTTTTTTATTTTTTATTTTTTTTAAATTTTGGGTATATTTATTTTAAGGTAAAACAAAAATAACTAGAACAGCATTAAGAAGCAGCTCTTTCTTACAATTAAAATAATGAAATCTAAATGCTTCCTCATATGATTATTTGATTTAACCATTTTCACATCTTAGTAAATAACTTCAATATTAAATCATACATATGTGTAAAGATATACACAAGAACTAAGAATATCAAGAAACGTGATTCTCACTAAAATTACAAGGTATTTTATGTTCTTTTTATTTTCTTACCTCAGGAATTGATAAAAAAAGTGTATAGTTATATGTATGAAAACATGAAATATCATTCAAAATTGATGAGCTGAATTTGTTAATCTGACAAAATATTATATATTTTTATGAGTAATGGTACCAATGATATAAAATATCTATGTAAAATGGTATATGAGACTTTTAAAAAAAGTATTAATATATTTTAAAAGCAAGTATTGCCCAAGTGCAGGAGTAAGTCATATACAACAATTTTACCTACTCAGCCAATGCCACTAGTGATTTTATTTTTATGAAGTCATAAACTTTTATCTAATGTACTCAATTTAATGCCTTATGCCTTAAATAACTGCAAATGTACCATGATAGTAGAATGATCTATACTTATATAATTTGCCAACTTTTCAAGGTAGTTAGCAAGCTTGAAAATAGTGCAACATACTACAACAAGAATAAGGAAATATAGTTATGCCCACTCTTGACTGGTTTGGAAGCCACTATTTTCAATAATCCTAAGAGGGATTCAAAGATGACCCTTTATTAATAACTTTTAGAAACATTGCTCCACATTCTACTACCAGTCTGAAGGAAAATAGGTCAACTACATAATAAATACTTTTTTATAGTCCTGCTCTTAATACTGAGTTAATTATTCATGATATTATCCAAGTCTCTTCTTGCTAGAGTAAATCTTAAGAGATTATGGAGAGCGATTAAAAATTGTCTTCTC